TAGCGAGTACCGCCAAAAAATTAGTTTTATTACAGAAATATTTTGAAATTTTAGGCTGATCTTCCCGAAAATTCTTGTCCAGGATCGCTGGAATCCATCTCCTTTACCGGAACTATAAACTCCAAACACTATAAATGGGATGCAATTGAAAATGGGTGGCTTATGACAAATGTGTGTCCCGAAGATTGGAAGCTTCTGGAAAGACCAAATTCGGTTACTGTATGTGTTCGTTCGTTTTTCAAGGGAGAACGAAAAACAACTTGGGAAATGGCAAAAGAAATCTGTGAACAGTATTATTGGAAATTGACTGGAATTGAGACGAAGGAAGAGGCGAAGGTTCTAGGTAACGTAGGCCACCACATATGTGCACATTAATCTCAATTATCTCGTTTCCTATGAGAGGTATCAAAAATCTGTCAACTGATAAAATGTTGGTGATATTTCCTATTATCTATTAGACCCCCGTTTATTATTGTTTTTTCAGGATTCAATGGAATCGTATGGACCGGAGGATACTGTAACGGGACATGTGAAGAATACAAATTTGTGGATGGCTATTCCTTTAACGCATATATCGGAAACCTGCAGTTAGTATTTGGGTTTTAAAACAAAGTAATTTTAATATTTTCAGACCACTTACACATACTGAGCAATGCATAACATATAGCAATGGAGATACTATGAACTTTCCATGTACGGAGGCTATCGATGGAGCATTTGTGGTTTTCAAATGCAGAAAATATTGGATTGAAACTTTTTTTTGAGTATTATCAATAAATGTTGAAATTAAATTTGACAATAGTTCTCAAAAACCGGCTCGAACGGTATATTTTCACCACCTCAAAATTACGGTTCAAATAGCTTGTAATAGAAGGTCCCCGAACTTCTAACTTTGAACCAATTTATCTTAATCCCTTCAAAGGATACGAAAAAGTTGTTTACTGATGATTTGTTTATCATAATATACGAAACATTTTATCAATTGACACATTTTTGATATCTCTGAAAGGAGCCGAGATGATTGAGCTCAAACTTAACAGTATTGTGGGTTTCTATTACAGGGTTTAGAGTAATAGGAAGCAATTGACACTGACTCGAAAGAATTCATAAAAAATCAGAGAACAAGTTTAGATTTTTGAACTTGCCGGTGAGCCATCAAAGAGTTTAGAACACAAAAGAAGCAATACGGCAAAGAATTTATATCCAACTGGACTATTTTCTTTGTGTTTTTTCTTCGAGAAACCAGACAACGACTTCTTTTTTCATTTCCGTTTCCGATTTCGGAATGTTCCTGGTTAAGAGAATCTTTGTTATTCTACTTATCAATGCAGTTGTCAATGCCGATTTTACAGGTTCATATACGTATTCTGAAGGTGGTGCTCCCGCGTCTGATGGTCAGTGAATGATTGTATGATAACTGCTTTAGCAGATGATTTAGATGTTCATTTTCCTCTAGGCCAACTCAATGAAGAGTACTCTGGTGGTGGGGGGGGGGGTCNAAAGCGAGTAACTGATTGTTATAATACATTTTCCATCTGATAGTTTAGATGTTACTTGGCCTGATGATGAATATCCCAGTGAGACGGACTCTGCTGGTTCTGGACACAGTGGTGCGTGCATGGTTGTTATACTAATTTCCTTATCAGACGATTCAGATGTTACGACTCCTGACGGCCCACTACGGGAGACAGACTCTGGTTGTTCCATGCTTGATGGTGAAAAAAAAACAACAAGAATATATCACAAAATGGGAAATATTTTGACAATGTATTAAGAAATGTTTACGAATTCACGGATTTTATGACGATTTTGCCATCGAAATGCTGTCGAGTAGCTGTATACCAGTAAGCGGAGCATTCGGTGGAAGTGGTGAGTTTTCCAAAACTTTGATGAGTCTCTTGTCTTTCATGACATTACTCAATCTTCTACTTCTGTTGACCTGAAATGGAGGCAGTTATCTGTTTGCTACTTTCAAATGTCAGTAGCAACGTACTTGAAAATTGGGGTCCAGGCGTAATTCTTCTGCGTCCATCCGAGTGTGTTCACTTGGCACGTCTCTCTCTGAAACAAACAATTTATTTTTATAAATATAAGATTTTCACCTCTCAACACAGTACCAGAGTTCTTTTCCGCCTTTTTTCATTTTTTTGAATCGCATCGCAAATCCCTCCAGCTTGATGATCGGCTTGTTTCTTCTCGGAGCCATTTTTCTGAAAAACCGTTTCTATTTTAAAAGCTAAAACAGAATTATTTCGTATGAAATTAGATCGAAAACGTTTATTTTTAATTGAGGAAACAATATAAATTTGCGGGGAAAAAGAGAAAACAAAAATAATGCAAGCGCGCTTTGTGGCTAAGACCGTTCCAATTCGGGACAGTTCGACTCCGAAACAGTTCGAATTTCGCACAGTTCGATTCTGCACAGTTCGAATTTGTCACAGTTCGATTTTTCTCTTGTTCTGTTTTGATACATGTTCGAAAAGAAGACTGTTCTGCATTGAGTCTGTTCGATTTTAGGCCTGTTCGATTTTGAAAACGTTCGAATTCGTCGTACCCCCATATTTAAAATTATAAACCTGCAAATATAAGGTTTCCAGCTTCCAAATCCTTTTTTTTTCGAAAACACGATTTGTTTCCTTATACGCCTTCAAACTACAGTAGCCAACATTATTCTCATTCGACTTTCTTCCCGTTTTCTGCAATTTTCATCAAAATTTCTACAATTCGATGCTTTTTTGTATCATTTCTCACCGAAAAGAGTTACACCATTCGAATTCCCGCGGTTTTATTCCCCTCGCGGCCGTGCGCATCTTAGTCCCTCGTGCAAACGCGCTCTGTTGCGCATGCGAAAAATAATTTTTTATTTCATTTTCGGCACTGTTTCCTTGAATTCTAGTGACATTTTCTTTAATTTTTCTTCGTAAAAATGAAGAAATAATGTTGGAAAATGATATTTTATGTCTAAAAACTCTATATATCAATGGAAAATTCCGATTTTTAGCTATTTTCTCATTTTCATTTATTTTTCCTTTTTTGAACTATTTATTTCAGAAAATGGCGACAACCGAACGTATCGTCGTCAAGGAGCTCTCCAGCAGTTTGATGGACATGAAGGTGAGAATTTTAAACGAATTTTCCATAAAAAATCTCATTTTTCCAGTTCATGCTCAAAAAGAAGAAGCAAGTCGAAGCGAAGGCCGCGAAGAAAAAAGAGGCTCGATTAGAGGCGAAAATCACAGAAACCGAAGGAGAACAAGCGACTTGTTCCACAGAAATTCCACTAATTTCCCCAAAAGACGAAATTTGTCAAGACTATGCGAAATTGGAGAACTTGATGTTCGGAAGACTCTCTTTTGGGGGTTTTAATAAGGAGGTGGAGGTAAGAATTCGCTTTTTTTTGAAGAAAAAATCGAGAAAAACCTCCTAAAAATCGAAAAACTTCCAGGTTCTCATGAATTACTATGAACGGCTTCGAAGCGGCGAAATTTCCGATTCAGAAGACGAAGGAAAAGACGTGGATGATAAGGAAATGGCTGAATCGTAAACGAAATTTCCCGAAACAAAGCCTAAATTATAGATTTTTGCAGATTGGGAGGAAAAAAATTATCGGCGTTGAACAAGAAAGCGATGACAAAGCGCGAGAGGCGACAGGTGATTTTTTAGATTTTTTTAGTCGAAAATCGATAGATATATTTCAGGAAAACGAGAAAAATGTTGAGGGTGTCGCCAGTGGAGGAGGATTCAGTGGAAGATTCGGCAACAAGAAACGAAGAAACGATGGAGCAGACGTCGGAGAGCCGCAGAGAAAGTTTTTGAAGCCAAAAGAGGAGGATTTTTAGGCCATTTCTTTCAATTTCGTTGTTAATTTTCCATTGTTGCCTTCCCCTTTTCCTGTTTTTTGTGCTCAAATTTTAAAAATTAATCAATTTTAAACAAAATAAGTGTTCAGCGCGCTCATTCGGTGACAAGAAATGGGTGAAAACGGCTTCGGGACGTTTCAGAACTCAACATTTCAGAAGTTTTCTGCCTTTTTTGCTAGTGGTTTTTGCACACCAAATGACCATTGCGCATTTCAATTTTGTGTTGTTTTGCTTTTTTATTCATTCTCATCTACTGTACTCCAAATAGTGATTCGTTTACACTCGGAATCTCTAAAAAAATCGAAATTTCCCAAAACGATGTCCAGAAGTTCGCGAAAAATTTCCAGCGAATACGAGTGTCAATTCTAGACGTCGTTTTTGAAAATTTCAATTTTTCGATTTTTTGAAAGATTCCGAGTGTGAACGTATCACTATTTGGAGTACGATAGATGAGAACGAATAAAAAAGCAGAAAAGCACAAAATTGAAATGAGCAATGCTTATTTGATGCGCAAAAGCCACTATACAAGAATGCAGAAAAGTTCTGAAACATTGGGTTCCGAAACGTCCGAGGGCTGAAGCGTCCCGGAGCTCTCATTAGGTGATAATAATTGAGTGAAAACAGAAAAAATAACAAAATGTAACAAAAAAGGGGGATAACAATAATTCCAGTAACAATTAGATCATCTGATCATCTTCCAAATGTTCTTTGGCGCTTTTGGTCCACTAGCAGGCATTCGATCGATGCGACCAACGAATCCACCATCGCCAACGACGAGAACGATGCGTCCGTTGGGAGAAAATGCCACTTGGCGGGTGATCACACTTTTGGGGTTTGCTTTGATCGTTTGGAATCTGGAAAATTGGAGGCTTTATCGGTTTGGTACAGAAAATTATGTACGGATTCTCGTTGAACTGATTTCTCATATCATAAAAATGCACAGTTCCACGATCTCCAGTTGTGCAAAGCCAGCGTTTTCGAACGGGATCCATATCAAATTTTGCGAACCACGCCGCTCCATCGATCATCTTTTTCTTGGCGAGAAGTGTATGATCTTCTCGGAATCCCTTCTCCGATGGAACACTTCTTTGAGATTCATTCATTCTTCCGAATCTCCATAGCGAAATTTGATCATCGCCTCCGCAATTTCGGGATAGAACGTAGGTCTTGTTGTTCAGCTGGACCGTTCGGACGCAGTCGGCAGTACCGTGATGGACGTTGGATATGACGTGGGATGGGCGACAGAAGATCAGAGAGTGGCCTTCGAGGTCGCTGAAAAAAAGTCGATAAATCGAAGTGTGTAATCGAAATGTCATTTTCACTTACCGTAACCAAAAAACCCCAATTTTTGATGCGAAAACCATTATTTTCGAAAAATCGCTCATATGGGTCAGTGGGATTTTCGACGAAAAATATGGATCTAGGGGTCACAGGTTCGAATCCCACCGGTGGCAACTTCTTTTTTAAGAGTTTTTTGAAGGTTTTCAAAGACGGGGAGTTCAAAAATCGGGGTTAGAAAGTGAAAATATGAATTTTAGAATGGAAAAATAGACGAATTCCTCTTAAAATCCACGTTTTCACTCTTCAACTTCATTTTCGAACTCTCCACTCTTGCAAACCTCTGAAAAAAAACTTTAAAAAGGAATTTGCCATCGGTGTGATTCGAACCTGAGACCCCTAGATCCAAATTTTTCCTCGAATATCCCACTAGGCCATATGAGCAATTTTTCGAAATTTTGCTAGAAAGATGGTTTTACAAGGGAGGTTGTTTTAGAAAGGCTTTCAGAATTTTCTTATTTTTTGACAGGGGTTAGTTGACACGTTAAAAAAGCCCCTGTCAAAATCTGTATAAGCACTTTTTTCCAAAAATGCTGAAAATTTTTGTCTGAAAGTTTCCAATTTCTTAACCATTGTAAACCTCACTTTTCTCCGTTATTTTGCCTCCCGGGAACTTCCGGAAACACCGTTGACATGTACACACCTACGCACTGTTGTTCCCAGCGGTGAAGTGGCCGGGTGGTTGTGGGCGCGTGTTATAAGCTGAAGGTCTGGGGTTCGATTCCCTCTTTTGAAATTATCTTTTGCTTTTTTTTATCAAATTCCTAGGCATCTATTCTAGGCTCCAAATGTGTTTTTGGTGAAAGTTTTTGAGTTTTTGCCGATTTTCAAACTTTGAGAAGCAGAAAATATCAATTTTTTCAAAGTTAATTTTTTCGAAAATTTCCAAGTTTTTGGTGGTCAACTCGCTAGATTTTCGATGAAAATTTTTTCGTTCGAAATTTCTCAATTTTTGTATGGAATGTATTTTTTAAATTCTTATTAGTTTCTCATGATTCATCCACCCTTTTTTTGACCTAGAACAATGCAAAATCACTTATAATTCATTGTTTTCTTTCGATGTTGGACAATTTGATTCATTGTTTTTCGACATATTTTGAGTCGAAAAGCGGCTAGAAGATACTGAGAAACTAATAAGAATTTACAAAAATACATTCCATAAAAAAATTGAGAAATTTCGAACGAAAAATTTTCATCGAAAATCTAGCATGGAGTTGACCACCAAAAACTTGGAAATTTTCGAAAAAAATTAACTTTGAAAAAATTGATATTTTCTGCTTCTCAAAGTTTGAAAATCGGCAAAAACTCAAAAACTTTCCCCAAAAACACATTTGGAGCCCAGAATAGATGCCTAGGAATTTGATCAAAAAAAGCAAAAGATAATTTCAAAAGAGGGAATCGAACCCCAGACCTTCAGCTTATAACACGCGCCCACAACCACCCGGCCACCTCAACGCTGGGAACAACAGTGCGTAAGTGTGTACATGTCAACGGTGTTTCCGGAAGTTCCCGGGAGGCGAAATAACGGAGAAAAGTGAGGTTTACAATGGTTAAGAAATTGGAAACTTTCAGACAAAAATTTTCAGCATTTTTGGAAAAAGTGCATATACAGATTTTGACAGGGGCTTTTTGAGCGTGTCAACTAACCCCTGTCAAAAAATAAGAAAATTCTGAAAGCCTTTCTAAAACGACCTCCCTTGTTAGGTTCAAAAATAGGTTTTGAAAAAGGGATTTCAGGCTAGAAATTGTGTTAAATTGAAGCGAGAAAATAAATGGGGAAAATAAAAGTAATTCTAGGTTACGGTAGTTGTCGTTGTGGGACCTTCGGCCGTATTTCTTGCCTAAAAACCCTTTTCAAGCCTAATTTTTCGATCCACAAACCATTTTTCTAGCAAATTTTTGAAAAATTTCTCATATGGCTCAGTGGGATTTTCGACGAAAAATTTGGATCTAGGGGTCTCGGGTTCGAACCCCACCGGTGGCAACTTCTTTTTTGAAGTGTTTTTTAGAGGTTTTCAAAGGTGGGGAGTTCAAAAATCGGGGTTAGAAAGGGAAAATATGGATTTTAGAGTGGACTTTAGACTGGATTTTCGTCTTTTTGAGTAAGATTTTCAGACATTTCGAGCCAGAAAAACTTACTAAAGCTTCTCCAACTCCCATTGCTTCTCATTTTGGAAACTTCTGAAAATTTGAAAAAAATTATTAAATAGCGGAAATTTTGCATACTTTACGACTCCCAACTTGTATCCGAGATCAACAATCATCAAGCATCTTCTCAGATGACGTTTTATCGGATTTTGAGTCAAATTCCAACCGACAACTCGATGATCGTGACCACAGCTGACAATCATGGAAGCGTCAAGAGACCAGTCCTAAAAAAGGCGGAAATTAGGTGAATTTTAGGTGAACATTCAGGTCTTGCCACTGAAATGACACTATCCAAGTGGGCTTGATGTCCACCCAAAATCACCAAGCACGATTCTGAGCGAATATGAAAGAGGCGAACAGTCGAATCCTTTGAAGCCGTCGCCACTAACGCTGAGTTCTTTGGAGATCTTCGAATATCGTTCACAGCGTCCATATGGCCAACTAGCTGACGATCAAGGGATGACGTCGCGGCGTCTAGGACGTAAACGACCCCAGATTCGCCACCGGTCACAATTTTGTGCGGATTCCTGGGGTCCAGATTGTCATAGCACCAGGCGACTGTGTAGAGACTGTCTTTCTGAAAAAAAAACGGTACTTTGAAAAATCGATTTTCCGCCAAAATATGTTTTCAGAGTTGAAAACGCTTAGTTTGTGTTATTAAAAGTCAGTTTTTCAGCTGAAAAAATATGAAAAATACTAGAAAAATAGCAAGAAAAGTTGTGACGTTTTGCGCCCAAAAAAGGCTATAAAGGTCCGACAACGACAACTACCGTAACCTAAAAAATTTTTTTTCCGAATTTGTTTTCTTTTTTCAATTTAACACAACTTCGAGCATGAAAACACCTTTTCAAAACCAAGTTTTGACCCGAAACCATCTTTCCAGCAAAATTTCGAAAAATGGCTCACATGGCCTAGTGGGATTTTCGAGAAAAAATTTGGATCTAGGGGTCTCAGGTTCGAGTCCCACCGGTGGCAAGTTCTTTTTGAAAGTGTTTTTAGAGGTTTTCAAGGGTGGGGAGTTTGAAAATGAAGTTGAAGAAATTAAAACAGCGATTTTGAAATGGATTTCCTTCGATTTTTTTCATAATCAAATATTTCAATTTTCTGGCTTTTTTCTGGAAAGAATTAACAGTAGAATCGACAGAAATCCCTTCTACAATACATATTTTTCACTCATTCAACTTCATTTTTGAACTTCCTACCCTTGAAAACCTCTGAAAACACTTTAAAAAAGAAGTTGCCGCAGGTGGGGTTTGAACCCGAGACCCCTAAATCCAAATTTTTCGTCGAAAATCCCACTGGGCCATATGAACAATTTTTCGAAAATTTGCTAGAAATATGGTTTTTCGATCAAAAATTGGTTTAGAAAAGGTTTTTAGGGCTAGAAATTTAAAATTGAACCGAGAAAAAATCTGAAAAATAAAATTATTCATAGGTTGCGGTAGTTGTCGTTGTGGAACCTTCAGTTCCGATTTTCAATTTTTTTCAAAATTCAAATTTTCTGTGCTCACATTGGTTAACTGGATCCTAGCCTTCATTACCATTTCAGGCTGGAACTGGGGAAATGAGTAAATGCTGATCTGAAAATTAGAAAATTAGAAAAGTTATTTTTTTAATTTTACACACATATTCGTCTCCAACTGCCGCTGCAATTGGATTTTCGTTTTTCGAAATGAAGGGATTAAAGGCGCATCCGTAGAAACTTGAAATCGGTTTTTCGAATAGCCGAGAGCTTCCGATGAATTGTTTTAGCGGGTGATCTTTGCTGTTTGTGTCGGTGGAATCATGCTTGAAATTTGGTGATGAGATCCTGCTGGTCTTTCTCCTACTTGGCGCCATTTCGCTGAAAAATAGGGAAAATTCGAAGAAATCGCTTTAATTCAAGTTGCGGCCGAAAATCGAGGTGAAAATCAACTGAGCGCTTGTAATACAGCCCTTTTTTAACGATTTTTCTGAATTTTCAGAAAAAAATCGCCGAAAATTGACCTATTTTGAAGAAAACTGAGTGGAAAATCGCCAAAAAATGTTCTGTGCATCTTCGCGTCGCGTTGTTTCACACAACTTTTCTCATACAGTAATCCCTAAGAATACTTTTGCAGTAAAAATAAAATTGCTTGTGAATTTTCGGTTAAAACCTGCGTATTTTCAATTTTTTCGCAAAAAATCTAATTGTAAGAAATTCAACTTAAAATTCCTAAAATGGTGGAAGAGAAACGCCGGTGGCTGTTGTCGAAGGTATCACAACGACAACTATAGTAACATAAACATTTTTCAAGATTTTTTTCGGTTGGCTGGATATTCCAATTTGGATTTTTTTTGGATTTTTAAAATTTTTATTGAATTTCCATTATTTTTGGGAAATTTCAATTAAAAAGAACTTTTCCCAATCTTCAGATTTTCCAAAAAAAAATTCAAGTTTGAAGATTAAAATTTTGAAAATTTGAATTCGAATTTTCTTAAGACGAAAATTTGAGATTTTTTTTAAAATTGAAACTTTTATTTGACGAAAAAAATTTATTCCCAAAAATTTCAGAAGTTCAGAATTAAATAATTTCAGTAACTTAAATTTTCTGAATCTCAGAATCTTAGAATCTCAGAATCTCAGAATCTCATAATTTCAGAGTCTCATAATCTCAGAATCTCAGAATCTTAGAACCTTAGAATCTTAGAATCTCAGAATTTCAGAATTTTTACGGTCCAAATCTCTTCCAGAATGTCCCCAAAGCTCCCCAGAAAAGGAAATTTCCATCCCTTTTTTTCACAAAATCCACATCTTCTCCTTCCGTTAGCTCCTTTTCCCATCCATCCATTTTCTCATTTTCCACACCCTCTAATTCTTTTCGTCTCAATCTTTTTCTCCTCCTAAATAAAACCAAATCCCTTATATTCATCTTTTGCTCTCCCCTCTCTTATCCTACCAAATTTGTCCCGTATGCATCTCTTTGATTTCCCTTTTCCCATCTCCTCCTCTTCGTTTTTTTAGTTTCGAAATGAATTTTTTCTCTGCGTCTCTTCTCCTTTCCCACTATTTCCCCTTTTCTCCACACACTTCCGTTGCGTATAATAGCCGCTGGAGAAGCAGTAAGCCTTCTAGAAGAGCCTCAGAAAAAATTGTACGCCAGAGAAAGAGACGCAGAGAGCTCGGACGACTTCACCTCTTCTAGAAGGCATTTCTCTCTCGCACTCTCACTTTTCCACGCTCCCTCGCCTTTTGGCAACTTTGTGCTGTGCTACTCTGGGAGGAGGATGCGACAGATGGCTGAAGAAGCATGTGTGCATTGCAAGTGCATGAAGAAGAATTTCTAAATCTCTCTTTCTCTTTTCCTCTGCGTCTCTCATCTCTCGCTTTGAATTGATGTTATGATTTCATTCATACTCTTGTTTATCTGGAAATCTAATTAGATTTTTTGCTTTGAGATAAAATTACACTTTCTGCTAAGAGCTTGTCTGATTTACAACATTTTTGAGATATCGAATTTCCAGTTTGAAGTGGAAGAATTTGCTTCTAGAAGTTTCTACAATTTACATTTTACTACTTTTTTGAAACTTTTTTTTTTCAAAAAATTTCAGAAATTCTGAGAGTCTGACTTTTGAAGTTTGGAGATTCTGAAATGCTAGATTTCTGAGAATCTAAAATTCTGGAATTCCGAAACTCAGAGATTAGAGATTTTGAGATTCTCAGATTCTCAGATCCTGAGATTCTGAGATTCTGAATTTTTGAGATTCTGAAATGTTGAGATTCTAACATCCTGAAATTCTGAAATTCTGGAATTCTGGAATTCTGAAATTCTGAAATTCTGAAATACTGAAATACTGAAGTTCTGAGATTCTGAGATTCCGAGATTCTGAAATGCTTAGATTCTAAATTCCTGATCTTCAGAGATTCAAAAGTTTGATATTCTGAAATTATGTAGCTCGGAAATTCCGGTATTCTAAATCCCAAGAGTTACGAAATCAAAATTTCCAAAGTTCTGTGATTCGGAAACTTTGAGCTTCTAAAGACCATAATTATTAGATTTCAAGATTCTGAAACTCTGAAATTCTGAGATTCTGAGATTCGGAAATTCTGAAAATATGAGGTTCTGAAACTTTGAAATTCTGAAATTCTGAGATTTTGAGGTTCGAAAATTCTGGAACTCCGAAATTCTGAAATTCGTAGTCAGAAATTGCCGAATATCTGAGATTTTGAAATTCTGAAATTTGGAGATTCTGAAATTTTGGAATTCTGAAATTCTGTAATTCTGAGATCAAAAGATTCAGGTTCTGAGTTTCTGTGATTCTGAGATTTTGAAGTTCTGATTTTTTTTCAAATTTTCTCCAGAAAGCGAAAACTATGACTCATTCAGATACGTATATGCATACCAAGAGCGTCTCACAAAACATAAACATAATGATTTCATTTTCTCTTCCTCTCTTTCTTTATATATATTTTTTGAAAATTCAAATTTCTTCAGGTGCGCAATGACCAAATACGCATTCACCGTCGAACTTTGTGTCAAGTAAGTTTTTGGAGCCCGAAGCGTCCACTTTGATCTCAATTATCTCAGTTTTTATGAGAGATATCAAACAGTAGTCAACTAATAGATTGTTGGTGATATTATGATAAACATTTCATCACTTAATGAATTTTTGATATCTTTTACAAGAGTTGAGATAATTGAGCTCAAAGTTGACAGTTTGGGTGGGCTTCTAAAATTACTGTTAGGGGAAATACAGTAATCAAAAATATATTTTTTGAATTCTAGAAAATTATAAAAAAATTTATTTCAAATTTTCAGAGAATTCAGCAGTGGCGACCCATTGGCTTTCAAAATGGACGGACACCGATTCGATGGAGCGTTGCGGACATTGAAATGGAGTACCGACCAGACGTACGCGGTGAAAATCACCACGAAGCCGGCGACAGAAGTGACGTAAGTTATTTTGGATTACCTAAATGTTTCAAGAGCTTTTGAATGATTATAAACATGCCTGATGGAGAAAACTACAGTAATCCTCAAAAAACCCTATACCGTGATTGCTCTAAAAGAAGAGTGTGTAATTTGAGCTCGTATATCTCGGTTCCTGTGAAAGATATCAAAAATTTGTCTAAAAAAAACTATTTGTCATAGTATTATCAATGTTTCATCAGTTGACAATTTTTTGATATCTTTTATACGAAGCGATATAATTGAGCTGAAAGTGCAGCATCTGATGCTCTAATGCTCTAAAAGGAGCTCACCCTACCCATGCTCTTTGAGCTCAATTATCTCGGTTCCTGTGAGAGATATCAAAAAGTTTTGAACTGATAAAGTATTGTTGATCATGATAAACAATTTATCAATTAAAATTTTTTTTGATATCTCTTATAGAAACGGAGATATCTTACAAGGGAACCATGTTTAGCCTTCATCTCAGAATTTTTTCTAAATTTTAACATTAATAGTTTCAAATACGGGCTTTCTTGTGGTGTATTTGGTTTTCTGCACAAATTTCTAGAAGTCGAGTTATGGGCTTTTTAAGTGATTTCAATGCTAATTTCTCACTTTTGGAGTAAGTTTTTGGAAGGGTTAATGGGAGTTTTTCGGCATTGTTTGAGTGTCAATCGTAATTTTAAAGGTTTCTCTACAATCTCTACAATCTGACAAAGTTTCCTCATTTTTCAAAAAAAAAATTTTTTTTGAAAAAATTTTGCCATGGGTTTTGCGAAATTGCGAAACCATTTGCGAAATTTTCAATTTTTCGAAAAAATTTTTAATGTGCTAAAATGAAGCATAAACGCATAAAAATGATAAAATGAGGATTTTCACAAGATTCTGTAGCCTATATCCGTTTTGAAATCCCAAATAAGTGATTTCTTCCAAAACTCCAATGGACCGTAGTCCTTCGAAAATCACCCAATAGCACTCAAATATTGTGAAAACGCGCAAAAGCAAGCATAGTTTTGATTTTCGAAAAGTTCAAAGCATTCCTCCAACATAAAAAAAAAAAAAAGAAAAAGGAAAATGACGGAATCGAACCCCAAACTTGTGATTACTATTCATCCCCACTATCCACTCGGCCACTGCTGCTCGTTTCTTCCAAAGTGGAGAATGTATAGAGGAAAGGGTGGAAAGTGGAAGGGAAGGAGGAGACCAAAAAAAACAGCATATTTTCAGATGGAATTTTTTCGACTTCTAGAAATTTGTGCAGAAAACCAATTACACTACGAGAAAGCCCGTATTTGAAACTATAAATGATAAAATTTAGAAAAATTCTGAGATGAAGGCTAAACATGGTTCCCTTGTTAGCTCAAAGTTACCGTACATAGCTTTTTGAGGGTTACTGTTGTTATCTCCATCAAGTTTATTTATTCTCATCTAATAGTAAGAGCTCTTGAAACTCTGATTCTGAAAAAGTATGAAACACTACAGTAACCCAAAGCCAGAAAAAATTCCAGACGTATCAACGTAAACGGAGCAGATTTGGACATCACCAAGGAGAAACTGGGTGTTTTCTCGGGTAACTGGAATACGACTGGATCGGAAATTTCAAAAAGGGGAACCAGATTTCCGTTGATTTTCTTGGTTGATTTTGCGCCCGAGGGACAGATGAGAGTGGAGTTTCAGTCGAAGATTTATTCGAAGGTGAGGGCAATTTCTGGATTTTTTGGGGTTCCTGGGATTCATGCATTCGTGGATTCATGGATGCATGTATTCATAGGTTCATCGATTCATAGGTTTATGGATTCATGGGTTCTTGGATTCATTGGTCCATGGATTCATGGATTCATGGATTTATGGATTCATGGATTTTTGGATTTTTGGATTCCTGGGTTCATGAATTCATCGATTCCTGGGTTCATTGATCCATGGGTTCTTGGATTCATGGATTCGTGGATCCCATGGATTAAAGGATTTCCGGATTCATGAATTTCTGGATTCATAGGTTCATGGATTCATAGGTTTACGGATCCATGGGTTCTTGGATTCATGGATTCATGGATTCATTGGTTTATGGGTATATGGGTTCTTGGATTCATGGATTCATGGATTCATGGATTCATTGGTTTATGGGTATATGGGTTCATGGGTTCATGTATTCATCGAATCATGAATTCATGGAATGATGGGTTCATGAATCCATGCATTCATGGGTTCATGGATTCATGGTTTTTCAGATTCATAGATTCATGGTTTTTTAGATTATTGGATTCATGGATTCATCGGTTATTGGATTTTTAAATTCTAAAATTCTGAAAAGTTGAGATTCTGAAATCCTGAGATATTAATTTATTTACGTATTCAGATTCTAAAGTTTTGATATTCTGAAATTCTGAAATTCTAAAATTCTAAAATTCTAAAATTTTGATATTTCTAAATTCTAATATTCTAAAGTTATCAAATTTCGGTATTTTTGGATTCTGATATTTTGAATTTCCAGAACGATTCTCACGCTGTCTGGGGACATAAAATGAATGCGGTCGAGTTCAAATGCTGCGGCGACGACGACGGATATGTGAAAATCGTCGATGAATCCTATAAATAATTCCCTCGCCCCAGATTACTGTACCTCTAGAGATTACTGTAGTTCTCTATCCCCCACTCTTCTTTCTCATATCTGATCTTTATTACTACTTTTTCTTAACTCGAAAATTCCAATTTTTCGCCGAATCTCAAAAAAATGCAAATAACGAACAACTGACTTGTCCCAATTTTTTGCTCCCACCGTTTGAAAAAATAATCAGAAAATAATATGAAATGAATTTTTATCCAAAAAATCAACAAAAATATTCAAAATAACAAAATAAAAATCAAACGATTCAACAGGAAGTATCAAGGAAACGGGTTTAAACCAAAAAAATCGATAAAGGTAGATCAAAAAGATCAAATTGGTGGGGACGAGGTGTCGGAAGCGGAATCGGCATGAAGGGCTACGGTAGATGGGGTCAGGGAGCCAGAAGACGTGCACGGTGGAGTTGGAAGTTTGAATGTTGGTGGAAGGAAGTTCTGAAATAATTCAGATTGAGATTCGGAGATTCTGAATTTCTGAATTTCTGAATTTCTGAATTTCTGAATTTCCGAATTTCTGAATTTTTGAATTTCTGAATTTTTGAATTTCTGAATTTCTGAATTTCTGAATTTCTGAATTTCTGAATTTCCGAATTTCTGAATTTCTGAATTTCTAATATTTTGAGATTCTGAGATTCTGAGATTCTGAGATTTTGAGATTCTGAGATTCTGAGATTCTGAGATTCTGAGATTCTGAGATTCTGAGATTTTGAGATTCTGAGATTCTGAGTTTCTGATATTCTGAGATTCTGAGATTCTGAGATTCTGAGATTCTGAGATTTTGAGATTCTGAGATTTTGAGTTTCTAAAAATTGTCATTTTTGGTTACTGTACCTGAACACTGAACGCATTTTGAGCCGGCTGTGGGATCTCCGGAATCTGTGGAGAGAACTGTTGTGTCTGAAAATCGGTAGTTTTGTTTCAAATTTCGGGTTTTTTTTTCTAACCTGAACTCCGAGAGAAGTCGATAATCCAGCTTGGATCATCTGAGCCATCAACTGAGCAGGTTTTGGAGTTTGCGGAGCTTGTGGAGCAGATGGTTGTGTCTGAAAATTCCAAAAGATTACAGTAGCTCTAGAATCTCAAAATGTCAAAGTCTTACCTGAGCATTGAGACCCAATACTCCAGCACATTGCATCAACAAGTCAAGTGGAGACATATGTGAAACCAGTGGTTGTGGAGCACTGGAAGTGGATGGTTGGACCTGTAAAAAGTTAATAGAGGTCAAATTTGGTGGTCTCGAGCACGTACCTGACTTTGAGACTGCATTAATTTCATTAGTTCCATTTGTGGATTCGATGGTGTCGGTGCAGCTACCACTGGAGTCCGTTTAGTAGCTTCAGCCTGCGCTTTTGCTTTTATCAACTGATTGAAGTTCTCGTACCATCTCATAATATCACCGGATGATGGATTCGGCTTGTTGAATTGCGGCTAAAGCAAAAATACTTTTGAAATTCTCTATCAAAACGTGTTTATCTTACAATTCCCTTTTCTTCATACTTCTGGCAATCCTGCACAAGTTTCAATCTTTCTTGCCAGTCAGCTGTCTTAATATCTGGGAAATATCCACGGATCTTGTTCATCCCAAGAGAAGGATCGTATTTAGGAGAGCTAATGTCTGTGAGTTGATTGAAGATCTTGGTTCTCTGAAAATTTGGGTTACTGTAGATTTTGCAGAAGAAATACTGTACCTCAGTGGCCATCTGAATCAGGCTGTTCAGACTCGGTTGATTTGGATTCACAAGCTGGAATGGCAAGCCAAGGACGAACTGTCCAAGGTTCCAATTTTTGAGTAACTCCTGGGGGCTTTGGATATTCATCGGAAGAGAAAGTTGGGGTTTCGCATTATCTCTAGAAACTTCCAGATCTCTAGAAACGTCCAAACTCTCATCCAACTTTGCTTTTTTGACTCTTGGATTCTTGTTGGGTCCACGGGTACGCTTCTTGGGTTTTGGAGGGTCCAGCTTGTTGAGAATGTCACTCATGAGCGATGAGATGACCCATGAGTCGTTGTTGGAGAACATGCCTTGCAAAATTGACATGTTTTGGGAGGCTGAAAGTTTGATTTGGAAATTCCTGACTTTGCATGTCTAGCACTTGTCAATTTGATCTTAAAATCACAGGGACAATTTTTGGCAAAAGCATTTTTTCCACATGACTATTTTAGCAGGCAATTATCTCGCTTCCTATAAGAGATATTGAATATTGGTCAACTAATAAATTGTTTATCATAATGTCAACAATATTTCATCCGTTGACAACTTTTTGTTATCTCTCACAGGAACCGAGATAATTGAGCTCAAAATGTGTTCTAGGGTACGGTAGCCTACCTTCCAATGCATCCATATCTGCTTTCTTCTTCCTTGGAGCCTTCTTTGGTTGTTTTCTCATCTTGGCATCCACTGGTGAAGGTGTTTCCAACGCATGTTGTACAGCATCCATACTGATTTCCAGCGATTTTGGAAGGTTGGAGGTCTCCATTGCAAAGTCTGAGCTCATGCTCAGGACAGTGGAAAGAGCAGGAGTAGCTGCAGGAATCGGGTTCTTCTCGATGTCTTCAGTACCAATGACACCACTTGGAAAAATACTGGCCAAATCCGCAAACATGGCAAAAGAGGAGTCCATGTTTGAGAGCGGGGGATCTGAAAATATCAAATCAAGATACAGAAAAAGGCTTGAGAGAGAAAGAAAGAGAGAGAGAGAGAGAGATAGAGATAGAGATAGAGATAGAGATAGAGATAGAGAGAGAGAGAGAGAGAGAGAGAGAGAGAGAGAGAGAGAGCCTGGAAGAATAGCACCCCAGTTGATTTGGGCTCAATTATCTCTGTTCCTATAAGAGATATCAAAAATTTGCCAACTGATAAAATATTGGTGATATTTTGACAAGCATTTTATCAGTTGAAATTTTTTCGATATTTTTTGAAGCAATCGAGATAATTGAGATCAAAGTGCACGTACGGGTGGGCAACGGTATCTCATTTAGGAATTCAGGTAATACTACAGCCCGATACATTTTGTACAAGACTAGGATCTGACTAGAATTGCTACATAACCTTGTCTAGACGCTTAGAATACAATTTGCCAAAAATGTTTGTGTAGAAGAACACAGCTAGATGTTCCCTTGAAGCCGTCAAAGAACACATATAGTGGTCATTCGCTTCTCCGTCTGTTACAGAAAGTGACCAAAAGAGAAAGAGAAAGAGAGTGAGGTTACACAGTTCTGACATTGCGAAACAATTTTGAATCTCGATTTGCGCGCGCGGTAATTAGCAGCGGGACGTGTTGATGAGGAGGGAGATGGGGAGGAAATGGACAGATGGCTCAGTGAGGGTAAGGACAACAAGTGTAAAAGATTATAGGGTTATGGAATAAGGGGGCCCAAATGGAGTAAATAGATTCTAGAACCCTATGATCTAGACTATAGTCTTGCAAGGTAGCTTACCTGCGGCTGCAAGTAGCTATAGCTATAGATCTTTGCTCAAAAAATCACTACGAAGCTGGCGATAGCTTTTTTTTTAATTCTGCATTTCGAACGTTTTTGAATTCGTGCAAACACTCCTAATGGAGAAAACTACAGTAATCCTTAAAAAGCTCATAGAAGCCAACCCATATCGTCAATTTTGAGCTTAATTATATCGGCTCCTATGAAAGATATCAAAAATCTATCAACTGGTGAATCATTATTTTATCAATACTTTTTCGATATCTTTCGACAATTTTTCGATATCTCGTATAGAAACCAGGATGATTGAGCTCATCGTGCAAGAATAGTGGCAGCGCAATCAACGGCGCCGACAGCGTGGATCACAAGCAGCGCGCACTTTGAGCTTAATTATCTCGTTTCCTGTAAGAGGTATCAAAAATCTGTTGACTGATGAAAAATTGCTGATATTATGATAAAAATCTTGTTAGTTGATCACTTTTTGATATCTTGTACGTGAAGTGAGATAAATGGGTTCAAAGTGAACGTATAGAGCGGTTAAAATGGGAGATAAAGAAAAACGAGTTGCGCACTCCGAAAAGGAAGTGCAAAAATCAATAAACTGATCAAGAAACAGATGTCTATCCAAAACACGTATGATATAAGAACAAAAGGGGGGGGGGATTCCTGACACAATGAGAGGACACCACCCCATCCGAACACATACACAATTTATCTCATAAAGAAGAGGGCGTATGCACACACACAGTCGATATGGTGGTGTGGGGTATAAATGGGAGGAAAACGAAGGAAAAGGAAAAAAAGGGCTCTTCGTTTTTCAAATGGTATGTGATGATGCCCTATGTGTTCGTCAGGTTATGGTGATGAGGAACAAAAAAGACAAGAAGAGGAAATGGAAAGAGGGAGAGATGCATAATGTGTGGGAGAAATTTGAATTTTTATGAGAACAAGGGGAAAGTTCAAATGTTTCTTGGGGGTACTGTAGTCGGTAACTTCAAAAACAGATACGGTAGCTGGGTAAACATAGACACCTGCTGCCGTCACTTTCATTCTGAAACTTCCTGTCAACATTTTTTTTACTATCTTTCTAAAATCGGACTCTTTTGAGATCTGAGATAAGAGAGCTCAAAGAATGTGTCGCAAATTTTTTCTTATATTTTTTCGTTTCGATTTAAAATTTTTCATTTTTTAAAGGCCCAATTTAGCAATAGACATCCGGGAGCATACATAATCGGAAATCACGGGAAACAGAAAACACCGCAAAATGGTAGAAACAGCGGAAACATAAACTGGCGTCGGGAGGGGGATGGATGACGTAAAACGCTGAAAATACTCGCAATTGAAGTTTGAAAAAGCATTTTTGAACTTTTTAACAGAACTTTGAGGAATTTCTCTATTATTTTAGTAGCAGCTAGCTGGTGCACCTTCTCCGCGATTTAATCTGATTTTTATTGGTTAGTCGCTCCGCTCCTCATGTTTTTTCATAAAGTGTCACTTCAATTTTTATTCTTTTTTTAAAGCTTTTCAAAGGTTGACAGCCTGACATCGGGAACCAAAAAGTATCATGCCTAAATTGTTTTAATTTGGTCGATTACCGTATTTCCTTTGATTACCCATTGACCTGAATTATTCCAATTACTGTAAGAGATAGCAAAAATCTAACAACTGATAAAATGTGTGTCATAATATCACCAACATTTTATCAGTTTACAGCTTTTTGATATCTATTCTAGGAGCCGAGATAATTGAGCTTAAAAATTGAGCTTAAAGCTTACCCCCATTGGGCTACTGTAGAAGCTATTCTGACACTCGACTAAACCAATCTTCTCTCTCCACACCCAAGAAAACCCCCACCCCAAAAACTCACTTCATCAAGTTCTAATTCTCTCTCCCCATGCAGAGAGACTCAATGACTCTTAGACTAGGGAGTCCTAGTCATTTCTCAATTTCCGTCATTCCCTTTTTCCTTAAAGGGTCTCTCCGTTCCTACTTTTTTTGTTTTCTTTGGTCCACCCAGGACTCCACAATCCGCGAAAAAGGACACACGAAGAGGAGAAAAAAGGGGGAGAAGAAATAGAAATAAGCGGTTGGGAGGGTGTTGTAGAAGAAGAAGAAGGAGGAGAGGAACATAAAAATGAGTGCTTCTTCTTCTCCTTCGTTTTCTTTTCCTTTGACTGCAAGAACATATACGGGAAGAACAAAAAAAACAAAGAGAGAGAGAGAGTGCGGAAAAAGTAGATATTATGACCCCAATGAAGCAGTGTAGGGGGTAGGTCGAGCCTTTCTTGATTAACTGGACTGGGATTTTTTTTGTCTGGAAGGTTCCATTACCAGTATTAGGTTGGAGAACTTTTGTAGGTACCCCTGGCCCCCAAGGACCTTGGGGAATAGAAAGTTTGGCGGGAGTTCAAAAAATCAGGTTTTAGAAAATTTTCGATTTTTGAAAGCTTCCGAAAATCTAGATCCAATAGGGAATGTAGTTTTTTTTGAGTTTTTTTGAAGTAGAATATTCTCGAAATTCTGAAATTTGTAGTCTTATATTTTGGCGGGTTTTCAAAATTATATTTTTCTTCGAATTCTGAGAAAATTTGCACTCTTGGGACACATTTTTTTTGGTATCTATTACTTTTCAACTCATTCCCCTTCGGTAGGTTTTCTAAAACTTATCTGAAATTTTCAGCACAAAAAATTTCAAATTTCAAATTTTTAAGCTGAAAATTTTCTTTAGTCCCATTTTAAAAATTTCGAACTACAAATGATCAAAAGGACTCAAAAACATAATTTCAATTTTTTGTAGCTTCAAAAAAATGTGTATGTATTTTTCTGATGCTGATAGGGGTCAGCTGATAAGAGTAACTTTTAAAATCCAAAAAATAATTTTTTGTAGTTTTTGAGATCAATCATAAAAGAAATAATGATTTTCAAAAGATCTATTTCGTGCAGAAAATTATGTATAACATTCACATAAAACTGAAGAAAAATTTTGAAAAAATAAATCCTTGGTCCTTATGGACGAGTCTCAGTTTTCTAGTCCCCCGCCGCCGCGGCCAGCGAGCGAGAACTTCATTTTTGAATTTTTTCTTAATTTTCAGTGTTTTTTTCATATTTTCAAATGTTTTTCGAAATATTCTAGAAGAAAAATTAACAAAAACCTCGAAAAAGCAGAAAAAAGCGTTCTGGCCGCGGCCGCGGGGACTAGAAAACACCGACACGTCCCTATTGTGTTTTTCCGTGCGTTTTTCTCATTTTAGGATGTTTTTGAATTTTTTCTTTATTTTTATGCGAATCTACATGATATCATGCACAAAACAAACCCCAAAAACCTAGAAATCAAAATATCAAAATCTCAAAATTCTCCAAATGCCGTAAACACTCTAATAGAACGCCACCCGAATCGTCAAATTTGATCCTATGTAACTCATTTTCTGTGAGAGATATCAAAAAGAAATAAACTAATGAAATGTTGCTGATATTATGATAAACATTTTTTTTAGTTGACAACTTTTTTATATCTTTCGAAAGAAGTGAGATATATAAGCTCAAAGTAAATGGTCCGGGTGGCGTTCTATTAGAGTGTTAACGCTAGGTTTTTCTACGCAAAAGTGCTAAAAATATTGTGGTCGTTTTTACAAATTTTAAAAAATTCTTCCTTGCACTTTCCCTTTTCTCATTCTGTTTTTCTTCCCCCCTTTTCCGTCCGTTGACTCTTCAAATGAATCAGAAAAAAAAGAAGGCAAATTTAGTGAGTCAAATAATGTCCCCAGTGTGTTTGAATTCTCATTTTCTCGCCTTTTTTTTCAACAAAAATTTTCTCAAAATTCTGATAAAATTCAATGATAAAAAGGGAAAAAAATACAGTAACATAAATTTATACTCTCTGTTGGTTTCCGCCCCAAAAAATCATTGTTTCAATTGTTTATTTGCCTTCCTTCTCCCTGTGTTCTCTTTTCTCTCGCTTCCACTTTTTCTTGAGGCAGAGATTTCGAACATTTTTGTCGTTTTTTCAATTGATTTTTTTTGTAAACTGTGAGTCACAATTTTGAATGCTAACCCCAAAACCTTTTTCTTGCTCGGTTTCCTCTCAAATTCACAAAATTGTTGCCTGGCTCCGCCGCCTGGTAACACATAATGTAGCTATAGAGACCCAGCGGCGAGCATCGGAGAATCGGCTCCGAATTTTCACTTTTTCCTACTTTCAAGACTCGCTCGAGCTTTGAAAAATGAAAAATTGCTCATTTTTGCTCTTGAAAATTTCAGTTTTGAGCATTTTCAGTTGTTTTATCAAGTGTACCGTAAAACCTGTAAAATAAGCCCCACCACACTGTCAAGTTCAAATATCTTGGTTCATATGACATCAAAAAAAAAATGGTAAACTGATAAAATGTTTTTCATAATATCACCAGTATTTTTTCAATTGACACATTTTAATATCTCTCATAGTAACCATGATAATTAAGCTCAAAATGCATGTGATCTTCTATTACTGAAAATACGGATTAGCGCCCAAGGCACGCCATCCTTCAAAACATCCAACTAATAATGTTCAAAAGTTCTAGACCTACCGTAGTCTTTTATAAATCACGTTAATCAAAACACAGATGGAGATCCATTTTTTTTTCGTTGTTTCGGCAGACTTGATTAGTTATTTTTTTGGCTCCAGAATTTATGACCAATTTCCCATTCGCCCACATTTTTCTTTTCTCATTTCCCTTCATAGTTTCTATTTCAACTTTCCACTCAATACCATGCGCGATTTCGAAGAACTACAGTAATACCGAAAAACCATTCAAATTCATTTTATAGGGGCGATTTATGTGTAATTGGGGAAAAATATTCTCCCATTATCCTAACGACTTACGACTTTCTTAGGGATTTTTAAAAAAGTACTATTTCTCCAAATTTTTGAAATTCAACAGATACGGTATAACTGCACAATTTTAGAAGAATAAGTTCAACTTGGGGTGTGGAAAAATATCGTGAAAACTGCAATAGAACGATTTTCATACGGTCGACTTTAATCCAATTCATCTCGGCCCCTGGGAAATATATCAAAATTTTGTTAACTAATAAAACATTGGTAATATTATGATAAACAATTTATTAGTTGACAGATTTTTGATATGTTTTACAGGAATTGAGATAATTGAGCTCACAGTGCAAATATAGTGGTGGCGCAATCAACGGCGCCGACCGCATGGCTAACAAGTAGTGAGCGATTTGAGCTCGATTATCTCGGTTGCTTTGAAAGATATCAAAAATCTGTCAACTGATAAAACATTGGTGTATATTATGATAAACAATATAAATATATGATAAACAATATTATGATAAACAATTTATCAATTGACAAATTTTTGATATTTTTTACAGAAATTGAGATAATTGAGCTCAAAGATAAAAGTTCGGGCCCGTCTATTGTAGGTTTTACGAATACTCAATGTTGACAAATTAGCGATCCAGATGTAAGCTTCGAAACCTCAAAAAATAATGATTTTCTAACAAGTTTTCAAAATTGGAGCGAAGCTAAAGAGCTAACAGTAAAATCAATGTACTAAATGTATTATTTATTTTCTGAAATTTTCAGGCAAAACGAACTTCTTACTCTGAAACTGTTCCCATGGTCTAGAAATCCTAGATCTTCTAAACACGACAATTTCTCATCAATCTTCTACGTTATTGACGAACTCTTTGTCATTTTTTGAAACTTTGCTTTCCTAGGACATATAATTTCGTCAAAAAAACCAGAATAAACTCCCTGTTCCGTGACTAAGAACATTAACAAAAAAGAGGGAGCATCCTGCCAAATGAAAAAATTGTGCTCCAAACTATTGCCAATTTTGTTTCTTCTTCTAGACAAAATTCATAGAATCTTATAATTTTTTGGATAACTGTGTGATTTTTTATTCAAAACAAAACCGGTAAAAAATTCATATTTCTCTGAATTAAATAGAACAAAAAAAGAAAACAACGTAAATGCTCTAATAGATGCTCACCTTTTACGTTCATTTTGAGCTTAATTATCTCGGTTATTATGAGAGATATTAGAATGTTGTCAACCAATAAAATTTTTATCATAATATCAAAAACATTTTACCAGTTGACAGATTTTTGATACCTTTCATGGCAACCGAGATAACTGAGCTCCAAGAGTGATCTTCTAATAGAGCATTGACGGCAACTCGTGATTTGATTTCTTAATTTATTGCCGAGATTTTTGTCTACTATACTATTCTGATTAAATCATTTTTTCGTCTTTTTGAGGCTAAAAATTTTTATAAATGTCTGGCGGTTCTGGAACTTTTTAATCTTTATTGTGACAACCCATTCTTCCAATAATTTTTCAGAAATGCCACCATGTGACATTTGTCACAAGAGGCCGCAGATTCTTTGGACAACAGAAGACGACATTGAAATTTTGATTTTCTGGACCGCGGCCTCTTTCCAACTACATCAAGATTTTAACATCAACGAGTTGTTTGAAAAAACCGCCCGGCATGGATTCAGTTATTGTCCAGAGCATATTTTTTCGGCAACTAGAAAACTGAAGAGGCTCGTGGATTATGATGAAGGGAAAGTTAGTTCAATGGGATTGAGATTGGTGGAACTCATGGCTTCGAACATTCTGAAAGAGAAAATCAAAGAGGGTTCTATGAAAACTGCATTGAGAAGATTCATCTACAACTTTCATGAAGAGGTAACATTTCGAAATTAGATTCAGAAGATTACTGTACTTTCAGAATCACTCAACCATTGGAGAACACTACAGTGACGAGTATAAAAATCTCGAGATAGAGGATCGCGATGGAATTTACATCTGCATTCAATGTGGCGAGGACAATGAGAAACCAGAAACCCGATTTATCGAAGATTATGAGTCCAAAAAAGCATTCGCTGTGTTCGCAGGAGCCGCCGTTGCCAATCTAATGAACGTTGATCAGGCTCACGCGTGTACCGTAATCCCTTCGATTCCTATTTGTGCAGTTCACCTTTATCAGCAAGCTTGGTCGTTGAGGAATCTGGAGTTTACGTTGCATGAGAAGAATCATGCGGATGTGTTCACTGAGACTATGATGGCGACTTTTGGAAGTGGATGGATGGCACCATTGAAGGTGGTGAATAAATATGTCGACAAGATTTTGCCGCATCCGGTGAGTTGGGGGAGGGAGAGGACTTTTTTGAGCTGAAATATCTCGATACCTATGAGAGATAGCAAAAATAAGTCTATTGATAAAACGTTTGTCATAATATCACAAACATTTTATCAGTTGACAAAATTTTGATATCTCTTGAAAGAACCGAGATAATCAAGCTGAAAGTGCTGTGGGCTAATCTTACGGTAAGCACCACCCTAAACGTGCACTTTGTGCTTAATTAATTGACTTTTCTAGGTCATGGCCCAATTTTTTGGATCTTCTAGGTCATGGCCTAATTTTTGGGTTTTCTAGGTCAATTTTAAGGATTTTACGCAATCTTACAAAACATTGAAAAAATCGGTGAATGATAATTCAGGTAATTCTGGTCTTTTCTCGTTTTTAAATTTTTTAGATTCAGGACTTCAGGGAACTTTCAACAATCCAATATTTTTTCAGACCCTAAACCACATGGCGTGCAAATTCTGCAACGAGTTCGGATCCGATGAGAAGCCGATAATCTATGACAAACTTCTGAGAATGAAGGCTCACCGTGACTGCTTCACGAAGGTTTCCAGAGATATTATGTTCGATATGAGTAAGAAAGATTTTGTGAATGGAGGATTCATATTTCGCTATCCGAATATCAAAAAATTGGAGAGTTTCACTGGAGATGAATTCAAGAAACTGATAAATTCATGGGTGAAGTATACAGCAGAGAAAGCGGATACAAATGCAAGATATAAGGTTTACATTGTGATGCTGTTTGCAAGATATTGGAGTCCAGATCCAGATGTAAGGCTTCATTGAAAATCAGTGTGTTCTTTATAAAATTTAGTTTCAGCTCAAACAAAAAGAAAATGCGGAGTCATTGATATTGGGATATCAAATGATAACTCAGATTAAAACACGAATGGCAATGACGAAAAACTCTTTGTCAGCAAAAGGTTCCGTTGAATCACCAGATGATGGTTATGAGGTGAATTGCATTGATAATAGAGGAAGAAAATTTATAATCGAGTTTACAGGTTGCACAGCTATACGTTTCTTCACCAGCAGTTTCCGGTCCGACTCCATAAGAAAGCTTATAATCTGCTTAAAAATCAACGGGTGTTATTAGTTCTAACAGAAAAATGTGAATCTTGAAAAGAGCTACAAAATGGCATAAAATACTAGATTCTTGGGCTTCTTCTACAAGAAACTAGGAAGTTCTAGCTGTTTTGGGAGCCGAGATACACCCACGTAAAGTTTAGAAGGCCAGAGACGCAGACAACGAGACACACTGCCTCGCTAACCTGTTATACTTTAAATCGCTGTATCTCGAGTCCTAGAAAAGCTAGAATAGTGGTTTTCAGATCAGAATTAATCAAAAATTTTGTAAATTTGTTCTACCTTATTTTGTCAATAGTCGTGGTTATTATGTTTGTATTAAATCGTATCCCATTTCAAGATCTACATTTTCTAAGTTAGAATTATTGAAAACATTGAACTTGAAGAGAGTTGCAAGGGTTTAAAGCTTCTCTCTCTCTCTCTCTCTCATCTCTTTTTCTCTCTACCTATCTGCACATTGTCTCCAATTGTGCAAATCCTACCGTATTTTTTGTTTTCTTACAAATCCCAAATTTCATGTGATTTTGATCTCAAACCCCCTCTACGACAATGTTATTTAATTCCAAACTTATGGTACCTCTGCCAATTTTCCCCATGATTTCCCCCCCCCCCCCCCCCATTTTTTATCTTCCCCTTTCCTCAGAATACTTCTTTTTCAAAATTTCCCGTCTCAAGATTTTTAACATTCGTACATCATTTTATCATTCATCAACATACAATTACTATTTGTGATCGTTTTCCCGTTGCTTTGACGTCATTGAAAATCGAAGCTAATAAATGAAGAAAGAAGTGATAAAAAAGTGATAATTAGAGATATTTAACGATCATTGGAAGCTCGTGGTGACATGGAAACTGGCGACGTGGAAGTTGAGGATGGTGCTCCCGAGTTGTTGAGCATCGCCAGGGTTCGATTGTAGTTGCCGCGATCGAATTGTTCTGAAAAATCCATTTTTCAAAGATAGATTAGTTTATGTAGTCCAGGACAATAAGGCTTCTATTTTGGTGGTTCGAAAATCGGCAACCGCCGACCGACAGCCGACCGAAATCTTGAATTTGCTCGTCAACATGCCAGAGAGTGTTTCCGTACTCAACATTTTATTTTACACCGCACGACACTCTGGAATGTTGACGCTCTAATACACAGATATGGTTTACGCGTCGACTGATAAGTCAGCTCAGTTGGCTGTCCGTCGGCTGGGTCGACGGACGGACGGCGGACGGTCGGCGGACGATCGGCGGAGGGTCGGCTGACAGTCGGTGGACGGTCGCCGAACGGTCGCCGGACGGTCGGCGGACGGTCGACAGACGATCGGCTGACGGTCGGCTGACAGTCGGTGGACGGTTGGCGGACGGTCAGCTGACGGTCAACAGACTGTCAGCAGACGTTCGGCGGACGGTCAGTGGACGGTCGGCAAACGATCGGCGGACGGTCGGCGGACGGTCGGCGCTCGGCGATTCCCGACCAGTTAACTTCCACTAATAAGTAGAAAAAAACTCAAACCTTTCAACAAGCTCATAATATCCTTTGAGCCATCTCCATTATTCGGTTTTTTCTGACACTTCATTTTTGTAGTAAACGCCAAATCGGCAAATGCAATGTCGATGATTTTCTGGAAACAAAAACATAATGCTGATCAGGATTCGGATAAGTTGAACTAACCTGATGATCACCGGAATTCATGACCTGAATTTGTGGCACTGGAACTTGTGAATGAGCAATTGGAGACACTGGAACCACTAGCCAACAACTAGATGGAAGGATGCCTTGACTGAAGTGCATCGTACCCTGAGCATTCATTCCAACTGGTTCGATAGGGACGTGCACCGGTGGTGGCCCCTCTTTTTTGTTCTGTCCTTGGCCAGAGACATTGTTGTTTAGGGAATTGTTCATTTGCAGCATTATCTGGAATAACAAAACTTCAACATTAATTATACGGAAGAGTGTAAAAAAGCGATTCAAGCTTATAATAAAAAAAGAAAGCGAGACATCGTTAACTCTTTTTTCCAGATATCCAGTATCTGAAATTCAATAAATTTCACACATTTTTAGCAAAGAATCAAGTTTCTAGAACCACTGAGAGCCGAGATACAGGTGTTTGAAGTTTTAAGGAAGAGACGCAGATAATTAGAGTGTCTCGTTGTCTGCGTCTCTCACCAAAATTTTACAACGTTCATGAGATTAGCTTCAAAACCTTATAACTTTCTTAAATCTCAGCTTCTAGTAATCCTAGAGAAGTGGTTTTTAGCTAGAAATGTGTACAAATTTTACAACTAAATGATTTATAGATATGCTAGGACAACATCTCAATTTCTGAGCCAACAGAGAGCTCGGAATCCGAGCCAAAGTGCACGTCTCTTTTCGAAAACCAAAGAATTAAATACGGGGCACTGGCTGGACGTCTTTTTCCTGTCTCCTGTCACTCATCTGATTGAGTGCTCGTATCCTTTGAGGGGATGGACGGTTAAAGGAGGATTTACGGGATTCGAGGAGGGTTTCAAATTTTTAATTTTGAGGAAACTGGAAAAAGAGCCAAAAATGGAATGATGAGCTTAAGCTAGCTTAGAAAAGGATCTGGGATCCCACCTGTGAATGAAAGGTTCATAAATATGGATGAATTAGAAGGTCGTTCTATTAGAGGTTTTACGGTATGAATGGATTAGAAGAAGAAACAGAAAAGAGGTTTTTTGTAGAGTGAATGCGTTCTTGACGTCAATGGGAATAGGTATGTTGGGAACAAAAATATGTAGAGGTGTGGGAGACAAAACAGAGGATCAGAATAGAAATCACGGGGTACATGTTGACATGATGGAAACGCTTTTTGAAAATTTTAACTCTACGACTTGAATTTGATGAGTTGTGGAAATTTTTTGAGTTCTGCTCCTTAAAATCTTTAAGACCATGGCTTCATGAAAAAATACAGCCTCATGAGAAAAGCTCTTAAATTTCTCTACATTTCTAGTTTTTAATCACTTCTCTAGGATTACTGGAAGCCGAGACATGGCCTTTTTCAGTTTTTCGAGTGAGAGACGCAGGCAACGAGACACTCTAACTGTCTGCGTCTCTTCCTTAAAACTTCAAACGCCTGTATCTCAACCCTCAGTGGTCCTAGAAATGTGATTCTTTTTTCGAAACGTGTGAAATTTCAAAAACTTTCTGAAAATTTTTTCATCAAATTTTGGATGCTGGAATTTGAGAAAAAAGAGGTAAAAACCACATTATACCAAAAGCTCGCTCGGCAGAAAACTAAAGCTTTACAAAAATAATTTTCGTCATATGAAGTCGAAAAATTCCACCTGCTACATACTAGTAAATCTGCCTGGTAATCAGAAATCAGTACTTCAAAACTACGGTAATTATCAATTCAGTGTTCCCCTAGAAAATAGGCCGAATTCGGACTGATTTGAGTTTCTAGGCCACCGGTTTTTAGGCCACGTCTCTCTGCCAATAAAACGAAGTTTCTAGGCCACCATTTTGAACCTTTTTTTTTCAAAAAAAAATTTCAAGAAATCACAAAATTTGTGTCGAGAGAAACACTTGAAAATATCTTCGCACTTACGAAAAAAAGTAACTCGATTTTTATTTATCCTTTTTCTTGGAAACTGTTCTTGTTAAATTTTTCTCGTCGTAAAAAAAGAAAAAAAAACCAAGAAATTGTCTTATTTCCGTTTGTGGCACTCACTCTATCTATAGACTCTATCTAGTATACTTTTTTCGCGATAATTAGCTTCATTTATATGTGCATTTATATATTGGGAATTTAATAATTTTGGCTTGTTGTTTCATGTTTTGGGGGAAATTTTAAATTATTTTGGACAACAAACACCTCCACTTATAGCATTTGAACTTTGACTACAAGGAAGCCTTACTATTCAGCTCTTTTTCCATTTCAATCAAAAAAAAATTTTCAAAAAATTTCACTCAAAAATAAATATTTCCTCTTCAATTTCCCCATTGACCTCTATTTCCCCTTCTACCCATGCGCCCTAATGTCTACGCCTTATCGCACCTAGTTCCACCGGCGGAGAGATGGCCGAGCGGTCCAAGGCGCTGGTTTAAGGCACCAGTCCCTTCGGGGGCGTGGGTTCGAATCCCACTCTCTTCAGTTCTCTTTTTTACGGGGTTTTTCTATGTCTTTCATTGTTTTCCTACCACCCCTAAAAGTTTGAAGAAAAAGTTCACATGAATTTTCAATTAGAATAAAAAGTCAGAGAGAAAATGAGAGAATTGATATGGAGAGCTTTTTCTTTTTCTTCTTCTTCCGTTTTTTCTCTTTTTCTCGACTCCAAACAAGGTGTTTATGCTGCTTGGTAGGAAGATATAGAGAAAGAGAGAAAGAGAGAAAGAGAGAAAGAAAGAGAGAGAGAGAGAGAGAGAGAGAGAGAGAGAGAACTTGTTTGTATGTGCTCTTTTCTCATTTCACTTCATTGGGATTCTTCTAAAAACTGTCTCTGCGTCTATTACTTGTAGCATACTCTGCGTCTCTCACAACTACAGTAGTATCTAGTCGCTTCGGTTTCCTTGACAACCAGAATAAGACACGAAAAGAGACATAGAAGAAGAAGAGGAAAATTTTTTTCTTCAAGAAAAGAGACGATTACTTTTTTTTGAGACAACTTGTTTGTATACTAGGTTTTTTAAAGTCTTTTGAAGAGTTTTTGAAAAATTAGCCTAGAAAAAAGGGCGTTTCTCTTCAAGAAAAAATATTTTCTAGTTTCCCACACACCTGAATTTTCAGCTTTCTCAGGAAAATCAAATTAGAATACGTCACCTGCTTGTCAGAAAATTTCTTATGTTTTTCGGCAGAAAAATTATATTTCCTTCGCTTTGAAAGTCAAATGATGTTGAGATTTCTGACAGATTTCAACACTTTTAGATTTTCAGATTTTTTACTTTTCTCTAGATTTTACGGTTCTTGGAAAATGTATTATTTTTAAACCTCATTTTCCCATAGTCTCATTAGTATGTGGTTTGCCGTAAAACCTGTAATAAAAGGGGGCCCCAGACTTTAAAGTTTAAGCTCGTTTATCTCAGTTTCTATGCAAGATATTTAAAATGTGTCAACTAACAAAACACTTTTGATATTATGATAAACAATTTATTAGTCGACAACTTTTTTGTATCTTTGACAGGAACCGAGATAAATTGACGTAAAGTAGAGTGCCCTTCTATTGCAGGTTTTACAGTGTTCAACTTAATCTCTATTTTCCCATAGTGTCATTTTTATGTGATTCAATATTTCACTTTGAAACTCAAACTATAAAATTTTCAGACTACTAAAAATGGAAAAAGTGGGAAAAGTGTGGAACATTGTCAAAGGAAAATTCTCCGCCGACTATCAACCAATTCAAACGTTGGATCCCAATGAAGCAGTCGTCGACAAGTTAGTTTTCTTTTTTTTTTGAGATTAAAGAAAGCTGAATTTTCCTGGAAATTTACGCTTTCAGAAAGTTCTCAAAATTTCCCACTTTTCTAAAAACGAATCACGTTTCTATGGATATTGAGAGCCGAGATACAGGCGCTTGAAATTTTAAAGAGGGAGACGCAGATAGTTAGACTGTCCCGTTGTCTGCGTCTCTCATTCAAAAGCTTACAATGTCCATATCTCGGCTCTCGGCTTCTAGTAGTCCTAGAGAAGTGATTTTTAGCTAGAAGGTGTGGAAATTTCAGAGTATTTTTTATGAGGCTTTAAGGGGCAGAACTATACTTACAGAAAATGATATGATGTGATGTTCTACTTTTTTTTCCTGACTTGAAATGTCCAAATTTTTATAAATCATACAGTTTCAGAAAGCTCTTAAAATTTTACACATTTCTAAAAAAGAATCACGTTTCTATGACCATTGAGAGTCGAGATACAGGTGTCTGAAGTTTTAAAGAAGAGACGCAGATGGTTAGAGTGTCTCGTTGTCTGCGTCTCTCACTCAAAAACTTAAAACGCCCACATCTCGTCGTCTAGTGATCCTAGAAAAGTGGTTTTCAGCTAGAAATGTGTAGAAGTTTCAGGAGTATAATAGAGAATCCTAAAATTTTACGTTTATTGCATCTCTGCCAGAAAAAAAAAACCAAAAATCTTTAAAAATCAGAAACATTTTTTCCTGAAAGCAGTAACAACTCTTCAAGCTCAATTATCTTGGCTCCTACTAGAGATATTTAAAATTGCTCAACTAATAAAGTACGTATCATAATATCACCAATATTTTATCAGTTGACAGATTTTTGATATCTTCTGAATGAACCGAGATAATTGAGCTCAAAGAGCAAGCGTTAGGTTGTTTTCTAAAAGGTGTCTTAATAGATGGCTGATTAGGTGGATTTCTACTTACTGAAAATCTTAATTACGGCCGAAAATCGCTGTTTTCAACAATTTTTGAATACACATTGGAACTTTTCTAACTTTTCTGTTAACCAGGAAAATATTTCTTCGCTATAGGCTATAGATTCAAGTTTAAAAAATTAGAAATGTTTAGAAAAAAAAGCAGATGAAGAGGAAGAACAAACATAAACATCTGAAGAATCGAATTCGAACATTTTCTCCCAATATATTCAAACCACTCGATTGGCGCGCGTTCCCCCTCCCCCTTCTTTTCACCAGGGCGCCGTTTCTCTGTCTGCGTCTCTTCACTACGCCACACTCACTCTTCTCCTTCTTTTCCGTTTTTTTTGCTATTCATTATCTGCCAGTCACCATCATCCATCCCCCCTCCCATTCCATTCACATCTGCATTTTGCACTCGGTCATTTTATACGAGTGGCCGTGTCTTTTTTTTCCATTCATTTCGTTCGAAAAGAGAGAAAAAATGTGGGAGGTGTGAGGAAAAAAGGCGAATGGGAAAGCGTAAATAAGAAAGAAATGTCCTTTTTGGAGGTTGAAAGAGGAAAAAGATGCGGAAATTGAATGGGAACGGCACTCTTTTTTCAGTTGGTTTGGGAATACAGAGAAAAAGGAAAACTGAATTTAGGAAAAAGAAGAAGAGGAAGAAAAAGTGCATTAATTAGTTTTATTTTGAAAAAGAAGAAATATGAGAAGTTGAGAAGTAGAAAACAAGTTCAATTTACATCAACGAAGAAACTCTGAGAAGATCTAAAAAGAAAATTTTTTTAACTGAAAATAACCAGCCCACCCAATACGTGCATTTGAGCTCAATTATCTCAGTTCCTATCAGATATATTAAAAAATAGTCAACTGATAAAACATCACTGATATTATGATAGACAGTTTATCAGTTGGAAGGCTCAACAGTTGAAAGGCGCGATATGTAGGCTCAAAGTGGGCGTAATAGACCTAGTCGTGAAAATACGGTACTTGCACTTTGAGCTTACATATCTCGGCTCCTTCAAAAGATATCGACAAACGTTTAACTGATAAATTGCTTATCATAATAACCGTAATTTTTTATCAGTTGACAAATTTTTGATTTCTCTCATATTAACCGAGTTAATTGAGCTCAAACTTGACAGTGTGGGGGGGGGGGTTTCCTCAAAACATTATGTCCATAAAATTTACTTCCGCTAGAAACGAAGCAAAATAAATCTTCATTGGTCAAAAAAATCCAAAATCGGAACCCATGTCCTTTTTCCTCGTATCAATAGAAATAAAAACTTGATAAGAGATAAGATTCGTCCACTTTTTATATCTCCATTCCACCGTTCCTCCTAGATCATCATTCTTTTTTGGAATCAACTGGAATGTCGAACTTTTTGTGATTGTAGAAATTTGTAGAATAAATCTATAATCTGAAGATTCCAAAAAAAAATCTCAAAAAACCAAGAATAATTTGAAATGAGCAATAAGAATTGGCAGCAAATAGAGAAAAAAAAGAAGGCCACCAGTACGAAAAACTAATGTGTCCATTTTTTTATGATCCCATTTTACCAATGGATTACAATGGAAAGAAAGAAAAAAGAGGAGGAAACAGAAAAAATACCCCTAGTGATTTATTGGCTAAAGGAATGGACTTTTATGGGGTGGGGGTTTAAAGATAAGAAGCAGTTCAAATGAGTACTTTTAGTAGAAAAGCTACCGTATTCCTCTAATAGAAGCCCACCCAAACCATGAACTTTGAGCTGAGTTATCTTGGTTCTTATACAAGATATAAAAAATTTGTCAACTGATAAAATATTTATCAAAATATCAGCAATATTTTTTGAGTTAGCAAAATTTTTAAAGGTGGGGGGACAGGAGATTTTTCGTAGTTTTTTTGTAGCTAGAGTATGCATTCTACCGTCACGGTGTACAAGGCTAAATGTTACTCTGCGTACAGCTGTCGTCCTCGCCTTTATGTATGCAAACGGGCGTGCGCTTTCTCTTTGCCCGCGTGGCTCAGTCGGTAGCGGCGCCGCACCCTCAATCATCGCCCTCACAAGTTCAACTCCTAGAGGGGCATCTTTGAACGGAATTTCGAGAACATTATTTTTTTCATGTCCCCCCACCTTTAAATATCTTTTACAAGAAATGAGATAATTGAGCTCAAAGTTGACATACGGTATATGATTTTCGGAAAAAAATTGTTTTTTTTTTAATTTCTAGAAGATTATCATGTCAGTTTAAATTCTGAGAATTTTCAATATAATGAATTTAAAGAAAATACGCAATTTTTAGAAAAATTTCAATGTGTTCATTGAAGCTTGAATGGTTTTTCAGTGACTCAATAATTTTCAGAAGCTTCTGAAATTTTAATTTTCTTGCGGTTTTTATAAATTCCGCAATTTTTAAAAAAGATACAAATCACTCCGATACAATCCCAATTTATTTATTCACATTTATAACCGAAATCCAATTAAAAAACTATGTCCAATGCTTTCAATCATTATCTTTGATCACATATCAGTAGTAAATCACTGGGCAGATCTGAAAATGATGATTATTTGAAAATGGTATTCAAATTTCCTATATTACATTATAAAAACTTCCAATTTTATCTTCGGGAATAATCTCTTTGAGTTGTCTGACAATTTCGCATATTGCTTGCACGAGGTCTCTTCCCGGATTTGGTTCAGGTGCCACAATTGATTGGGCTGCCTGAAAAATTAATTCAGAAAAATGATTGCTTGAAGAAAAAACATAGTAAAACTCACAGCCAAAGCTAGAGTACCGAGTAGCAGGTAGAAGAAGAAAATAGTCATTTTTGATGTGTTTTTTGGTTTTTTGGAGCATCTTTTTATAGTGACAACCAGGATGTTTTCGAGAATTGAGCTGTTATTTTTTAGTAGTTTTTTTATTGTTGTATAGTTGAAAATTTGATTTCCGCCGCCTGTCGGCGGCTACAATCTCCTGGTTTCACTAAAAACGTTTGAATCTCCAAATCGGAGAGAATCAGAAGAGGAAGTTTTAGTTGATTGTGTTGTCAACTTTCATAAACTGGAGTGACAGTCTGCTTATGCGCCTTCGGGGCTAAACCTTCTGGCTCCCGCTTACAACAGCCTTAACAGATTGAGTTTGGGCTTGGACAGATAAATCAGAAATGTAGATCAGAAATGTGTTTTAGTTGATACATGAACTGTTCAAAATTTCTAAATTTTTAGAACTAATAATTTTCCTGAATTCCCGAATATCTTGAAATTTGACAACTTATAATTTTTTCAGAAGTTTCGAAATTCAGGAGTCCTGAATTTTCGGAACTGCGATTCTAGAACTCAACGATTTTTCTATTAAAATACTTCATTTCAAAACTCATAATTTCTGAAATTTCGTATTTTCGAGTTTCCGTGTTTCCGACTTTCTGAGATTCTACTTCACAAATTCCCAAAATTAAAAATTTTAACACGAATCAGATTTTCAGAATTTTCTCTAAAACACATTTCTGAGTTTTTGATTCACAAAGTTTATGAATTTCCGAATTTTCTAAATTCCGAACTTGGGCTTTCTGATATTCGGAACTTCTGAGTTTCTGGTTTTTCTGGTTTTTTTGCTTTCGAGATTTTGGATTTTCAAAATTTCGAGTGTTCTAACTTTCAAATTTTTTAATTTCGTAATATTCCGAATATCTGAATTTTTATACTTCTGGATTTCCGAAACATTGGACATTTGAATTCTCTGATTTCCAAACTTCAAAATTTCCAAAGTTTCAAATCTCGGTATTTTGTTCCCGTTTTTCCAATTTTGCGAATTTCTGAATTTCAGAATTTCAGAGTGAAACCAAAATGTTTGAAGCATCGGAATGGTTAGAAATTTCGCATTTTCGAAAAAAATAATCAAATTTCGTGAATCAGAATCTCCGAAATTCAGTTTTTGAGAAGTTAGGGGATTCAGAAAGCCAGAATTTTAAAGTTTACTGAACTTTTTCTTTCTCTCTTCTTTCAAAACTAAGACTAAAAAATTATTTTCACAAAATCAACTTTTTATCAGATAAGATAGAGTGGATAAGAAAAAAAAAAGAAAAAAAATAGAAAATAGAAGGGTTGGACGGAAGTGACGTGAAAATAATTTTCTAAAGAGTGCACTGTAGGAATGGAGTAACGTCTCCAGATGACGTCAGAAACAAAATTTCAAAATGAAAAATAAACGGGCAACATTTCGCTGCTATTTCTGATCATCTGTGAAAATTTGAGAATTTTTGGTCTACTGGGGACTTCGCTAGGGTCGTGGAACCGGGAAAAGATATATATATCAAAAAGTTGTCAATTAATAAATTATTTATCATAATATGACGTACAATTTATCAGTTGACAAAAATTTGATATCGTTCACAGGAATCGAGATAATTGGGTTCAAAGTTGATGGTTCAAAAAGCTCCAGAGACGCGACAAACAGGCTGGTGTTTTTAAAAAATTCTCTAGACATTCTTTTCTTGAACATTATTCAAACTTTAAGTTTTCTAAAAACCGATTTTATTAAAAAAATTAAAATTCAATTTCAGACCTTTTTTTTTCAAAAAAAACCCACCTAACAAAATTCTATCAGTTCCAGACTAAAAACCTCGAAATTCCATGGCCGCATCATGAAACCATTAGAATGTCAAGCTGGTCATTCGGATACAGTCAACACAATGGTCATGATCAGATCTGGAATGATACTATCCGGTGGAAAAGATGGGCGAGTTGTTCTCACGAACACAGATAGTGGAGAAATCTACTCGAAATGGATAAATGGGACTGAAGTCAACAAGATTTGCTATCGAAATTATGTTGCCAATCACTCATTTATCGCAGCCGGAAGAAATGGATCGTTGACACATTGGATGTTGACAGGAACCAAACCAGATGATCCGGTTTCTGTGATAGAGGGGCATAAATTCGGAGCAACGGGATTGGTTAGTATTGATGGTAAGATTAAGAGACTAACGTTTATTTAAATATGATTTTTCCAGAAACCCATTTCATCAGTGGCTCTCGAGATTGTTCAGTAAAACTTTGGGACATTGAGAAGAAGGATTGTGTCATGTCGCAAACGGTGAATCGGAATTTGGTGACACATATGGCATACAATAGCAATAACAATTTGGTGGCTCAAACTTCAGAGGATAAGAGTGTGAGGTAAGATGGGCAGCAAAAACAATGGTTGCCAATTATCTCGATTCTTGTGAAATATTTGAAAAAGGTGTGAATTGATAAATTATTTGTCATAATATTACCAATATTTTTTTATCAGTTGAAAAGTATAGGATGTCTCTCATAAAAACCGAGATAATTTAGCTCAAAGTTGATGATCTGGGTAGGCTTCAAGTAGAGGAAATATGTACGGTAGTTATCTTGGATGCTCTATAAAGGTAGTTCAACACTTTTCAATTCCTCTGAAAATTTTAGGATATACTAAAGAAAGTTAGAGCTTTAATTTTGTTGTTGGCAGCTTTTCGATAGAAATCCAGCAAACCGAGATTCTAGGTTTTGAAGAGAAAGGAATGTTTTTTCGTGGTAATTTTGGAATTTGCGGATTGCCGCATTTCATTTCGAACATTCCTCTTTTAATTCCCTTTTTTCTAAAAACTGAACTTTTCGAGCAATGAGAAAATTCAGGAGAAATTTTTTTTAGTGCTCAATTTTGCCAATTTTTTATTTTTCAGACTCTGGGACCCACGCTCTCTGGCAGTTGTCATGGAATTCCCACGAAAACGTCACATCCAAATGTACTGCGAGTTTGATGGCGTTAACCGACTATTCTCCTGCTCCAACGGGTTTAACCATGATGGGTGTGAAATTACGGTACCACTAATTAATGTAATCATTATTTCATGAATTAAAATTACAGTCATACGACATTCGAAACTCGAGAATGTCCAAAGAGGTTCGCGGTCATGAAGGCAATGTGACTTCTTTGTCATTGGTGCAACTGGATGGAGCCAAACGATTGCTGGTATCAGTTTCAGCGGATAAACAGATAAGGCTTTGGAAAATCGAGGAAGATGGGATCAATGGTAAGTCTAGAAGATTCTAAAATATTCTGAAAATTTTGATTTATAGTCCTAAAACCCTTTTGGAACGAGGACGTGCCACTGGAAGCTGACAATCTTCAAGTCTGCACATATCCGGACGGACAGTGAGTATTTTAACTTTCAACCAATTTATCTGAATTCCTATGAAAGCTATCAAAAATGTGTTCATTGATGAAACTTAGGTGATTATATGATAAACATTTTATCAGTTGACAACTTTTTCATATCTTTTACAGGAACCTAGATAAATTGCCTCAAACCTGACAATGGGGGGCTTCTATTACAGGTTTTAAGCATACTTGAAACGGGCCGGGCCGGGCTGTTTTCAGGATTTTCAGATTTTTGGAAAAATTTTTTCTGTATTTCAAAAAATTTTTTGGGGTTAACAGAAAAAAATGGACAAGAAAAAAAATTTTCAAGATAAGAGTGCGCATAAAAAATAGTTCTTCTACAAAAAAATTTGAAAAAATTTCTGAAATTTCAAAAAAAAAATTTCAAATTTGGAAAACCCGGGCCGGGCCCTGATTTTGCAAGTATGGTTTTAAGTACACATTTTTAATTTTCAGTATAATTGTGTCCGGCGGAAAGGGCCGTCTGATCCATTACCAAGCAAAAATGGCTGCACAAAGAATCATTTTGGACGTTCAAATGATTCAGAAGACGTCAGGAGCAATGTCACAATCAACCAGCTCTCATGTCATTAGATAATTGTTTCTTGGATTACTGTAGTTTCTTTTTTTTGATCATTTGATCTCTTTATCATTTTGATCTCTTTTTTCTGCCTATTTCTGTGTGATAGATATTTAAACTGGTGAGTCTCATTGAGACTCTTTCAATGACATATTTAGATAATAAAAATTTATAGACTGAACACTTGAAAATTCGATATTCTCAGATTCTGCAAAATCTAAAATCCTGAAATTTCTAAAATTTTTAAGGTCATGAAAACCTAAAAAATCCTAGATTTTGAAGCTTCAGAAGTCATGAAAAATCTGAATTTTGATAGTCATAAAAGACCTGAGAGTCTGAGATGCTTAGATTCTGAGATTCTGAAATTCTGAGATTCTGAGATTCTGAGATTCTGAGATGCTTAGATTCTGAGATTCTGATATTCTGATATTCTGAGATTCTGAGGATTCTGAGATTCTGAGGATTCTGAGATTCTGAAATCCTGAAGTTCTAAAAGTCTGAAACTACAAAAATCATGAAAATTCTGAAATTCGGAAATTCTCAGATCGCAACACAAAAAAAAACAAAAAAGCTAGTAACCCTTTCTCCCTAAAATTCGATAAAAATTTCAACGAAACGAAAAAAAAGAGAAGACAAAAGACAAAGAAAAAAGTTCCGATTTGATTTGCACAAAATTGAAAATTCTCTCTTTTTCTTTTTCTTTTTTCTAGTCTTCTGATTGCGAGAAAAATTTTTAGACACAAGGAAAAACTACGTTTACTGTTTTGCATCTTTTCAATTTTTTTTTTTTGATTTTTTCCCTGAATTTTGAATTCTGAAGGACATGTTCTAATGGAGACAGATGGCTCATAAAATATTCAAAACTAGGACACTACTTTCTTTGATTAAAAATATTTTTCGTGTCTCATTCAGCCTCTTTTTCTCCCCTTTTTCTAAAATCCATTTTTTAAATTCGTAAAAAAGTTCAAAAATCCACAATTCGGAAATCTGGAATTCAAAAACTCGACAATTTTTTTTGAATTTTTTTTTCGAAATCGGAGGTTTTCCTGTTTGAATAGGTCAAACAGGTTATGTGTCATAATGGAGTGAAATTTATTTGAAATTGAAAAAAAGATAATTGGATAGGAAGAGATTTAGGGAGCGTGAGGTTGTGATGATGTTTTATTGTTCTTTTTGATTTCGTTTTTGTGGAATTTTTTTTGATGAATGTGACAAACTTTTTGAAACGAAATTGCTCCAAATTTCAGCTTTTTCAGCCGTTCAGACAGAAAATTATATGTTTGGTATTTGCGAATGTTGTAGAAAATAAGTTTGAACTTTTGAAACGAATCAACTCAAATTGTCGCTTGAAAGGATTCTGAAGTTTCAGTAATTTTTCAGATGTTGTTTTGTGAAAAACGTTCTTAATCTTTGCTAGCTTTTTTTGACCGAAGTTTCGTCTGTTTTTTTTATAAAATTGACCGCTAAATTTTATTGAAAAAGGCATACAGAAAAAACCACTTTGGTCCGTCATTCCAGCGCCAAAAAGATGTCGAAACTTTGGATTTCCAGATACTTCTAATTTTTGGCGATTTCGGAATTCTAGTATTTCTGAGTGTTTAGATTTTCAAAATCTCAGAATCTCAGAATATTAAAATCTTAGGATCTTAGAATCTCAGAATCTTTCATTTAGAATCACTGAATTTCTGAATTACTGAGTCTCTGAATTTCTAAATTTCTAAATGTCAGAATCCTAGAATCTCAAAATCTCAAAAATTTTCATTTTTTGGCCCCTCCAAATATCCAAAAACCTAAACAATATAACAAAAGGCTTCCCCTATCTAGACCACACCAGACATTTCCCAAAAAATAAAATCTGTTTATATAATTTTAAATTTTCTCGCGCCTCCTCCGTCTTCTTCTTTGAAATCCGTTCACCCTAATTCTATGTCGTTTTGTTTTTGTCATTATTTCTCCAACATTTTCAGAGAAGAATCAGGAGGAAACAGCTTCCAATTTCGCTCTATAATTAGTCCTCTTTTTTGTAGTTTGTAGTTGGAAATGACGAGTTTTAATTAGGCTCCTCCCAGAATGGGTTTTTAGAATATTTGCAGTTCTCTGAAATTGAACTTTTGGAATTTTGATCAGCCAAATCACTCAGCCAGCTGATCCAAAGTGCAATTTCATCATCTGATGAGTTGTAAAAAAGTTTATCTATTTTTCTGTGAGCAGCAAACTTTTTGAGGGACACAAATTCTGTTTAGAAACAAAAGAAAAAGTGAAACACATGCTGTTTCTCTCGATTTTTCCGGTTTTTTTGTGCCAATTACCCTTTGCTCCGGAGAAGAAGAAGAAGAATGAAAGAACAAATTCGATAGAAAATCATTTATCTTTTCTTGTGCTGACTACATATTCTTGGCGATTTTTTGAATGAATTTTTGATTTTTTTTTCGTAGGGTAAAGGGGCGGGGTTTGAGATTTTTCTCGAGAATTTTTGAGCAAATATAGAATTCATGAATCCGAAAATATCGCTTTTTAAAAGAGCTTATCAGTCTCTGAGGGGCTGAATTTCTAAATTTCAGTGTGTTCATTTTATTCCTCGAAACCTAGGATACCGTGTTTCCCAAACCGTCAACCAAACCGCTGAATTTGAGCTCAATTATCTCGATTTTTGTGATAGATATCGAAAATCTATCAATTGATAAAATATTGGTGATTTTTTGATAAATATCTTATCAGTTGACAATTTTTTATATCTTTCATAGGAATCGAGATAATTAAACTTTTAAAGTTGACGGTTTGGGTGATTTTCTATTAGAATGTTTTACGGTTACTGTAATTTTCAATACTCTCAATAAATGCTGTTTTTCACTGGATGTTATTTTTCCATACAATTTCAATTTTTCTAAACCTGAACTTCCATAATAGTGCATTCATATAACCACTTTTCGAACCAATTATCTCGAAACTAGTTTGTTTTGAAAAAATACCGGTTTCCTAGAAGCCCACCCCAACCGTCAACTTTGAGCTTGATTATGTCAAGTCTTGTAAAAGATATCAAAAATATGTCAACTGATAAAATGCTTATCATGACATCAGCGGCATTGTGTCAGTTGAGCACTTGTTGATATCCTTAACAGGAACCGAGGTATATGGGCTGAAAGTTGACGGTTACAATGGGTTTTTTTTTTTCGGAAATAGGTATCTAATTTTAACTGTTTTTAGTTAAAAATAGTCAATTTTTGAGTCCTAGAAAAGGTATTCCAGATATTTTTTAAAATTTCCATTTTCCATTAGCTCAGATTATACATAACTTAAAAAATGAACTGTTGTCAAACTGTTTTGCTGTTTGTAACCAAAAAAAAAATGTCAAAAACGCCAGAATTTGCATTGAAATTGAAGTGGTATCTCTTCAAAATAGCTAATAATCCAAAAAACTACAAAATCTCCTCGAAATTCAGGTCACGTGTAGTGGCTCTCATATTACAACACAAAAAGCCATTGAAGCTGACTATGAGAAAAATGATAACTGATATGAGTAACATGAGGTGTCTGGGCGGAAAAAAGAGATACGGCATTTTAACGGATCTTAAGAATGCTAGAATGGAAAATATTATAGTTTCCAAATCGATCAAAAAAGAACCTGTTAATTTATGAAATCCGTCACCATCGAAAGTGGCTCTTCATCTTTTTCTCTATCTCACAAGTTTCATTTTCCTTCCCATTCATCCCATCCGTCCAGAAACTTCTGCCTATATCCCTTCTGGCCTATCCTTTTTCTCTTTCTTCCTTTCGTCTCCAATTCATTCGATTGATCGATTTGTTAGAGAAACGGATAGAGAAGGAGAACTGATGCACATTTTTGAGACGTTTTATGATCGCTTTTTGCCCCACTGGCTCGCTCTGGCTAGTTTTTTTTGCTATTTTTTGATGGATCTTGTTTTCATATGATGTATGATAGAGGGTTTTTTGTTGATTGACAAATTGTTTAGGACTAAAAATCTTTAGGTATTATTGGCTGAAGGGGAAATCAATTTGGAGCTCAATTATCTCGGTTTTTGTAGCATATATTGAAAAATTGTCAACTGATAAATTATTGATAAATATCTCTTATGAGAACCGAGATCAAAAAGCCAAAATACAAGTACCTCGCTCTAATAGAAGCCCGCCCTATACGTCCACTTCGAGCTCAATTATCTCGGTTCCTATCAAAGATATTAAAAATTGTCAACTAATAGAATGTTTATCATTTTATCTCTAATATTTCATTAGTGAACAGATTTTTGATAACTTTTATGAGAACCGAGATATTTGCACACAAAGTTGTGTGGCATTCAATTAAAGCACTTTCGGTAAACGGCGGTGACTTAGGATTGTTGGAAACCGTTTTCCTGTGGACCTAACACGTTTTAACGAATTCAAATTTTACATTTCAGTGTTTAAATGAGCAAATAATGTTGGTCTTGAAGAATGCTATGAGCCGAATTAGTTCGTTTTCCCCAGAACCTCATAACTAATTGAACCGATCAAAAATAGTGATTTTGAAGGGAGTTATTTCATTTGCCAGGAGCCCACCCAAACCGTCAGCCTTTAACTCAATTATCTCGATTTCTGTTAAAGATATGAAAAAGTTGTCAACTGATAAATTATTTATCACCAGCTCCACTCCTAATTTTTTCTTAAAGGGCCACGTCAAGCTATTTTTATTTTTCAAGTTTTTCAAAAGTCGACAGATCCTCATCGGGACAGACAGACGCGTGTAGCATTTTATATATAAGGAAGATAATGTCACCATCATTTTATCAGTTGACCCATTTTTGATATCTCTTATAGAAACGGAGATAATTGCGCTCAAAGTTGCTCATGAGCTACTAGACTCTAGCCCAAAAGCTGTACACAGTTTTCAAATGTTGCAGACCTTACCTTGAGCGAGTTCACCACCAGTCACTTTTGGTGACTTTTTCATTGACTCATACAGTACTGTTACACTCTATCTCAGTTCTTGTCTATACCAGCTTCTAACTTTTTTCATTCTCTTAAATGCATTAAGCTGTGCTCCCCCTCTATCAGTTCTTTTTCACATTCCAGATCAATGAATCATTAATCTTTACATCTCTGCGTCTCCCTCACTTTTCCTCTCTCTCTCGTCGTTTCAATATCAATCTATCATTTTTCCGAGACATCTAGAAATTCTTTGCTTCTGATTTTGCCTCTTCCAACTTTCAAAAAGACAAAATCTTTTCGGCTTCCCCACTTCCAATAATCTCGATATATATTTTGACACGTGAGCGTCATTTTTAAGATTGATGACACATTTAGAGGATGTATATCAGTTGAGAGAGAGAGAGAGAGAGAGAGAGAGAGAGAGAGAGAGAAAACGAGATAGAGATTCAGTTTCCGAACAGTTGTTTCTATGAGTGTGCCTGATGGAAAACGCGGGAAAAAGAGTCGAAATATTTTGATTGGCGGTGATATGTGTTAGTGAGAGAGATTACGAGACGGAAGAGAAACATTTGACACAGGCAAAAAGAGTCCTTTACACTTTCGAAAATTTGTGTCCTATATAGTGGGGGTTTTCTGTAAAAAAAGTTGGTGTTATGGGGTCATGAGTCAAGAGTTTGATATTTTTGAGTTTCTTGTGATATCGCCTCTTTTTCACTGTGCATTGACCATTATTTTACTGACAGAGAGACCAAATCTTATCACAAACTAGGTCAAAATGTATAAATTGTTTGATATTTTTCATGTACCGTATTTGCTCTAACAGAAGCTCACCCTATACGTGCACTTTGAGATTAATCATCTCGGTTCCTATAAGAGATTTCAAAAATCTGACAACTGATATAATGTTGTTCATATTATGATAAACCAGCAAGCTGGTGCACCTTTGGTGTGATTTGATCTTGTTTTACACTGGTTCGTCGCTTCGCTCCTCATTTTTTCTTAAAGGGTCACGTAAATCTATATTTATTATTTACGATTTTCAAAAGTCTATCAGTTGACTAACTTTCGATATCTTTCATAGGAAACGAGAAAATTTGGTTATAAATAAAAACGGACCTACTATTACAGGTTTCGCGGCATATCAGGACCTTGTTCATATTGTTTGAAACTTCGATATCTCATTTGAACCTTATCAGTTTACATATTTTTGATATCTCTTACAGGAATTGAGGTAATCGAGATCAGAGTGCAAGTATACCGTATTTACTCTATCAAACTGATTAATTATTCAACTAATGAATTATTCATCATAATATCACTAATTTTTATCAGTCGACCGAGATAACTTAGCACAATGTGCACATATAAAGTGGGCAAATACGGTAGAATGTTCTCTATTAGAGCATTCACGAAAACTAAATGTCTTAAAATCACAACAAACATTTCATCAGTTGAGAACTTTTTGATAACTCATACTGTAGCTTCTAACTCTAATTCCCAAAAATCCGCGGCCGGCTGAGGCAGACCGCTTCAGCCCTAACTATCCCCTGGCACAGTGCCAAAGAGGTTCCCCTCCCATCATCATCTTCATTTCTATTTCTTTTCAGTGTTCCTCCTCTTCTTCTTTTGTTTACAACACCCTCTGTCTCCCGTCCTCTCTCTGTCTATTTTTTTTCACTCTTGCCGCGCCACTACAAAGTTTATAAAGAAGAACAATCGTTTTGAGTGGTCCTTCAAGGATAAAACAATTTTACAACATTTTTTTAGTGACGGGACACTCTTTCACTTCATTTTACAAAATGTTGTGGTTGACTTTAGCTTCTTCTTTATGAGATTCAAGCACATTTGAATTTGTTGTGGGATTCAGAATACTTGAGCTGGAATTTTTTTTCATGGAATCTCGAAATCAGGAAATCTGAAATTCGGAAAATCTCACATTCATAATATTCTCTCCTTCCATTCGTCCCATCAATAAATCTCTTGTTTTGCAAATTGTCAAGTGTTTTTTTTCTTTTGAAGATTCTTGAATTCTCAGAAAGCGGCTTTATTTTTATCTTCTTCTTCTTTCTCTAATTTAAAGAGTGTTTCTATTTTCAGAGGACATCAACTTTCACTTTTCATGCCTTGAACTTTTTTGTGGAGTAGGAGAAGCAAGAAGAAGGATTCTGAAAGCCACGCGGCTGAAGAGAATTGATCAAAATTGATAAGCGACAAGAGCAGAACGGTCGGACGCCTCCCGATATGAGGCCCGACGAAGAAGGTAAGATTTAAGCCACCATGCACTTTGAGCTCAATTATCTCGGTTCATGTACAAGATATCAAAAAGTAATCAACTGATAAAATATTTATCATAATATCATCAATTTTTTATCACTTTTCAAATTTTTGATATCTCTCATAGGAGCCGAGTTAATTGAGCTTAAATGTAGGGGCTTCTATTAGAGCAAATACAAATAGTTTGGAAAAACCAAGTGTTTGAAAAAAAAATGATTTTTTGGGATTTCTAGGCATTTCTAGAGATTTTCTGTAAGTGTATTGCTCATTTTTTGGAGTTTTTTTTGACAATTTTTCATAGTAATCCATTCAGATAAAGCTTCTAAAAAGCACAAAAAATCTGTTTTGAACCAAAGAAAAATTCGAATTGTTAGTATTTCTGAAAAACTTCCAAATGTTGAAAATCTCAAAACTGCTCATCCTCAAATTCCAGATGTCACGATTCGATCTGGCAAATCTTCATCAGTGTACACAAGGATATGGGCCTTCATCGCCATCGTCTTCATCATTCTATTCCTTCTAGTTTTAGGCGCCGCTATTTATTTCTACATCAACTATAAAGACAGTTCCGATGTGTGTCTCTCTCCGGGATGTATCAAAACTGGTGAGTTTTTTTGGCCGAGAAAAGCTGGTCGGTCGGCGGTCGCCAAATTTTGACCGACCAACATGGGAGCCTTAATGAGGAACTGGAATAAGGTCTTTGTTTTTTGAGCCATTAGAGGTGATTGAAGATTGGGGGCTAATTTTTGGGAACTAATTTTTGAAAATGCCAAGTTCATTAGTGATTCTAAAAACTTGAAAAAAGGGGACCAACAAAACAAAATTTCAGCATCGGTGATATTATCTTCCATGAACGCTTCCATAGATCCATGTGATGATTTTTACGAATTCGCATGTGGACAATGGATCAAAGGGCATCCGATACCAGATGATGCGCCCAGTGTTTCAAATTTCGAAAATCTGGGACAAGATTTGGAATTTGCATTAAAAGGTTGGTCTTGTTTTAGAAGCCTTATAGACTTTCGATGGAATAAAAATACCGTAGATCCTCTAATAGTAGCTCATTCAAACCGTCAACGTTGAGCTCAATTATCTCGCTTTGTAGGAAAGATATCGAAATTTGTTAACTGATAAAATATTAATCATAAAATCAACAATTTTTTTATCAGCAAACAAATGTTCACTATCTTTCACAGGAATCGAAATAATTGAGCTCAAAGTTGACGGTTAAATTGGGTTTCCATTAGAGGAAATAGTAAAAATCATCGATGTATTTTAGATACGTAATAAATTATTAAATTATTAAAATATAACCCAAATTTTCAGAACTCCTGGAAGAAGACGAAGAGCCATATGACTACGATGTATCAGCAGTCGGAAAAGCCAAATATTTCTATAACCTGTGTCTGAATGAGTCTGAAATCCTGGACAATTGGCGACGAACATTCGATGAAGTCGTCAAAAGTTTCGGAGGATGGCCAAGTCTGGGACACCCCTTAAGCCCGGATGCTAGTATTGAAATGTTGTATGGTAGGACTTTCATGAAAAGTTTTGGCGGGAGTTTAAACAATTTTGAATTTCAGCGGATATGGTTGCCAAATTCAAAGCCGATAGCCTATTCAAAGCGACTGTGCAGCCAGATGATAAGAATTCGCAGAGACATGTTTTGCTGGTGAATTTTTGAGGGGTCTCAGGGTTCCATGTGGTCGAAAAACTTCCTGACCGACAGACCGCCAACCCAGTCGGCCGACAGCCGACCGAACTGACAGATCGGTCGACCAGGTCGGCGGTCGGTCGGCGGTCCCTGATTTTCGACCGACCAAAATGGAAGTCTCAATCTAAAACCAAATTTTCAGATCGACCAACCACAGCTCAACCTTTTTGCTCGCGATTTTTATGTGGCTGCTGAGAATGAAGAACGTATGGCGTATTTGCAATTGATACGGTAATTTATTGGACTAACAAAAAAAATACTTATTTCATTCCAGAGATGTTTTAATTCTTCTGAACGCTGATCGAGCGAGAGCGACACGAGATGCAGAAGAGATCATTCATTTTGAGACTGCGCTGGCTAATGTAAGGATTTAAAAATCCTTTAACTTTGAGTTTTAACCAATTCTTCTCGGTTCCCGAAAAAATATATCAAAAAGTTGTCAACTAATGAATTTCGCATCATTTCATTAGAAACGTTTTGTCAGTTGACACATTTTTATATCTTGCAGAGGAATCGAGATAATTGCTCTGAAAATTGACAATATTTTTCTGGTTTTTCAGATCACTATGGCCGATGAGCAGCGCCACGACATTTCTGAGCTCTACACTAAAGTCACTCTTGGTGATATGAAAATTTCACTTCCACACTTCAACTGGCACCTGTTTTTCAACCATATGTTTAAGGATCTTCATGATAAGGTTGGGGAAAATTAAAAAAAAAAAACTATGACATACCGGAAAATTTTCGAATAGAAGCACATCATCTTTGTGCTCAATTATCTCAGATTGCTATGACTGATATCAAAAATTTGTCAACTGACAAATGTTAGTAATATCATGATAAATAATTCATCAGTTGACAAGTTCCTGATATCTCTCATAGGAGCCGAGATAATTGAGCACAAAGTGAACGTATAGGGTTGGCGTCTATTTTTTGGCATCTTTATGAAAAAACTTTTAATTCCCAGAACCCTCGGTTCAGTTTATTAAAGCTAATATACTTTTTTCAAATTCCATAATTTCCAGAACGGTCGCCAAATCACATTCGATGATGATACCGAAATCGTTGTCTATGGATACGAGTTCCTTCGCCGGCTGGATTTGCTCATCCCAATGTACGATGCTCGTCTGATTACCAATTATCTGGAGTGGTGTTGGTTTTTCAAGACAATGTTGAGAGATCTTCCAGACCCATTTGCATTGACCATTTTCAAGTTTTATAAAACTTTGAATAGTGAGTCTTGCACTTTGAGCTCAATTATCTCGGTTCATACAAAAGATATCGAACAATTGTCAACTGATAAAATGTTACTGATAAAATGAAGAACATTTTATCAGGTAGTACATTTTTGATATCTTTTTTAGGAACCGAGATAATTGATCTCGAAAGCATAGAATACTATTTTTCCAGTCATGAACGTTCAAAAAGTGCGGTGGCACGGATGTGTGACACGGATCAATAGCCTAATGCCGATGGCAACTTCAGCGATTTATGTGAAAAATCATTTTGATCATGAGGCCAAGCAACAGGTAAAAATTTGAAAAAAACGATATCAGACAAATGGAGACACTGAAAACGTTGTTAGAATTATTAACCTGTTTAGGTGAAGGGTCCCTTTTGAGCCAATTAATCTCGATTCTTGTCAAAGATATGAAAAAGTTGTCAACTGACAAATTGTTTATCATGTTATCCCAAACATTTTATCAGTTGAACATTTTCGATATCTCTGAGAGCAACCGAGATAAATTGAGTCAAAGCTGAAGCTTAGGAGCATTCTAAAATTGTGGCCTAACTTTTGCAAGTAGAGTTTTCTAGGCCACCAACTTTAAACGCCTAAAAATGACCTGATATTTATATGTACTGTTTTCTAAGTGATTTTATCATCGTGGCCTAACTATTGCAAGTTGAGTTTACTAGGCCACTAACATTTATAGCCTAGAAATGGTTTTATATTCACCTTGTTTATTTTCTAGACCATTTCAACATGGTGGCCTAATTTTTGCGAATTTAGTTTTCTAGGCCACCAATTTTGACGATTCGAACGAATTTTTAAAAATTAGGCGTTTTCGAAAAACGTCTCAAATTTACCTCAAGTTTTCAGGTAGAAGAAATGATTTCGCTCATCATGGAGTCCTTCGTCGACCTATTGCTCAGCGAAGATTGGCTCACAAAAGAAACCAAGCAGTTTGCAAAACAAAAAGTCAACGAGATGAAGCGAAAAATCGGGTATCCAGACTACCTAAATGATCCGTCGGCTGTGAATAAGGAATATATGACTTTTACTGTAAGTTTTAAAAAATTCAGAGATTCAACTTTTTGAAAAATTACTTCAGGTCTACCCAGGGCACTATTACCAAACGAAATTCAGTTTCTATGAGCAATACCAACGAGATGTTCTGGAAAGAATCACAGAGCCAGTCGATCGGGAAAGGTTGGTCCGTAGGCCCCTAAATTTCTGAAAGTACTTCTTTGCAATTCGCGAGTATGATGTTATTACTCAGAACAAATTCCCAAAAAAGTCAAAAACAAATGCATGATTGCCCAAATCAACTAGCTATTAAACTGACAAAGGCAATTATAGTACTAAAATGTCATTTCTAAGGATGAGCAATACAGTAGGAATTTTTTGCAGATGGGTAGCTGGAGCCGCGCTGGTCAACGCATTCTATAGTCCAAATACGAATGAGATCAGTGAGTTTTGGGAATCTGAATTTTCGAAGAGAGTTTGGGAATCTGAAGGGAGTGTTTTTGAGCTAGAAGTTCTTCGTTATCTCCAGTGTAATCTTTCGAAGTAATCTTATAGCAAAAAACTTTTGGATGAATGACGGCCTAAATTTCACAAGTTGGGTTTTCTAGGCCACCATCTTTTTTGGCCGAAAAATAATCTCATACTCACCTGGTGTGTTTTCTAAGTCATCTTCACGTGGTGCAAATTGGGATTTCTAGGTCACCACCATTTTTTGCCTAGAAATGACTTAACATGACCCTGGTGTATTTTTTAGATAATTTTTATGTGGTGGTTTAACTTTTGCAAGTTAGGTTTTCTAGGCCACCACTTTTTTAACCCTGAAATCGAGCCGATACTCACCTGGTTCGTTTCTAGATAATTTACCTTGGTGGTCTAGAAAACTCAAATTGCAAACGTTAGGCCACCACGTAAGAATTACCCAGAAAATACACCAGGGTCACGTTAAATTATTTGTAGGTTAAAAAAGTGATGTCCTAGAAAACGCAAGTTGCAAAAGTTAGGCCCGCCATTCATCCATAAATTTAAAAATAGATTTTTAACTTTCAAATTCTGGATTCCCCGTAATCAAAGAATGCTTTCTAAGACCTGGAAGATCTTCAGACCCTTATCACCACCCCAAAAAAAAAGATCTCTTAATCCTTCAATGAAAAAAATAGGATTATTATTCACCCACATGAGAAAAAAGAGAACTTAATCAACACTTATTTGTCACGTCGTCTGACATTATGAACGAAAAGAGAGCAAATGTCGGAGACATGTTTGTCATGGAGAGACAAAGTGTTTGATGAACTTCGTCGGAGACCGAAAATCATTTAAAATATAGTCTATTATACAAAAAGTTTTGAAATTTTCGAAATCAAATTCTGGAAAAGTAAAAAAAACATATTTTCAGTCTTCCCAGCTGGAATTCTCCAACCTGTTTTCTACAGTAAGGATTTCCCATCCTCAATGAATTTTGGTGGCATTGGAGTGGTGATTGGACACGAAATCACTCATGGATTTGATGATAGAGGTGTGCACATTGATTTGAATTTTGAATTTTTTTTTGGTTTCTGAAAAAAACTTTCTGAAGTTTATAGACCAATTGACCTTCTGATACAGCACCGGTAACATAAGATGAACAGAAATGAATTTTTAATTTGATTTTCGGCATTTTTAAGACCCTGGAACTTGGCTGTCAACTTTCCGATAGCTTTGAAAAGTGTGTCGGTTGTAAAACAGACCTAAATTGAAAACTTTAAATACACCGATTTTTTTGAAAATTCTTAGATTTTCAGCTATTTGTCGATTTCTGGAAGGCCCTCGTTTTTGTACCGGAAATGTGAAAAAAAACAGTTTGAAGTTTGAAATTTTCCGCTTAAAAATGGCTAAATATAATTGAATGGGGGTATTGATCACTTTTGGACTGTGTACTCCTCGCGTGCAAGCCGACCCGCGAAATTCGAATTTTTGGGTTACAGAGCAGCTCGAAACTCGATGTTTTGGTGTAAAATCGGTTTGAATAATGAAATTTGAAGTTTTCCATAATATAAAGAACATTTTGTGTTTTGTACTCCTCGCGGATAAGTCAACGCGCGAAATTCGAAATTTCGGGGTTAAAAACCGATTGTTTGGGAGTTCTTAGTTTTTCAGGTATATACCGATTTCTGAAAGACTCCTGTTTTCCCCATTTTAACACAAAAACGAGTTGAATAGGGGACCTTTCAGAAACCGGCAAACATCGGAAAAACTAGAAAAATTCATGAGGCTCAGAAAATGCCCCTAGCAAGACCAACAATAAATTTGTTGTAGTTTTTGTAGTCCACACATATATTTCCTTGTACCAAAAATAGTATAGTTCAATAATGTGTACCTAATTCTTCCGGGGACACATTCCAAGTATTCTTCCAGAACAAATTCCTTCCCCTCATTTTTTTTTCTTCTTCACCCCCACCTTCTTCTTCTTCTTCTTCTTTTCATCTGACCACTACTCACCCCCTCCCTCCCAACAATTCATTAGAATTCATTGAAATTCTCTCCTTGGGAATTTTTTTTTCATCAATGTTTCAAGTCATGCATGTTGTAGATGCAGAAGTTCTTGGAACGACCAGGACAAAAAAAATTATTTTTGTTAAAAAAAAGATAAAAAAAGTACAACAGAATGTTATGATATGAATCACAATTTAGGTGACGTCAGTTTTTTGAAAAACGTTCAGAAAATTTGAAAACATTGAATTTTTAGGACGCCTCTACGACAACTTGGGAAACATTCGTCAATGGTGGGATAACGCAACAATTTCGAAATTTGAACACAAGGCTCAATGTATTGAGAAACAGTACTCGAGTTATGTTTTGGAACAAATCAATATGCAAATCAATGGAAAATCGACAAAAGGAGAGAATATTGCTGATAATGGAGGGCTGAAACAGGCTTATAGGTACACTTTCGAACTTTGAGATTATTAAGAAACGCTTCAAAACATCCTAATTGTCTTGAAAATCGAATTTTCAGCTTTTTGACCCAAAATTGTTTTGACTTTAACACAGTTCAAAAAGGCCCAATTGTCTTAGAATTTAGATTTTCGATGTTTTGAAAACGTTAGCTTTTCAATGAGCCTGAACATGACCAAAATCCGTCAATTTTGATTTTCAGCAAAAATACGCGATGCGTTAAGAATTCATAGTTTCACCGATTTTTTTTGTGTGATTGGGCTTGTTTTGAAGGTCACAACGTGAAACATTTTCCTTTATGATGAGCCTAAACATGACTTTTTTAAACTCCAAAATTTTTAGACCCAAAATTATTTTGACTTTAACACGGTTCAAAATGGCCCAATTGTCTTGGAAGTCAGATTTTCGAACTTTTGAAAACGTTAGCTTTTCAATGACCCTGAAACGACCAAAATCCGTCAATTTTGATTTTCAGCAAAAATACGCGACGCACGACCGCGACGCGTCGGAAATTCTTAACTACACCGATCCTTACCGTGATTGGGCTCGTTTTAAAGCTCACAACGTGAAATGTTCAGTATAATGGCTCATTAACTATCGAATAAGGTTTCGATTTAGAAGGCGATTCACCGTTCCGCGGGGAGCCGCGGGCGGGAGCCCCCGGGGTAGCAGGTAGCTCGCTTCTTCACCCGCCTAAATGGGAACCCTACTCTCGAACTACGACTTAAAAAATCTTTTATTAAAGGTGGGGGGACATGAAAAAAATTATTTTCTCGAAATTCCGTTTACATACGCCCCTCGAGGAGTTGAACTTGTGAGGGCGAGGATTGAAGGTGCGGCGCCGCTACCGACTGAGCTACACGGGAAAAGAGAAAGCGGCCGTCGGATTGCATACATAAAGGCAAGGACGACAGCTGTACGCAGAGTGACATTAAGCGTTGTACACCGTCACGGTAGAATGCATACTCTGGCCCCAAAAATCCCCCGTAAAATCTCCTGTCCCCCCACCTTTAATGAAACCTTGTAATAGAAGGGCCTTCCTAACCTAGAACATTTTGTGATATGGTTTATAGGAAACAAGACAAATTTCGTTGAAGCCGTTGAAATGAAATTTTAACTAAAATGCAAGTCGAAGGTTTTGAGATTCTCTAAATGTTCAAATCTCAAAAAACGAGTTTGGAATGTCAATTAACATATGTTTACCCATTTCCAGAGCCTACAAAAAATACGAAAAAATGCATTCACGCCCGCCACGACTACCGGGAGTCAACCTGACACATGATCAACTCTTCTTCCTGAACTATGCCCAAATCTGGTGTGGAACCATGAACGATAAGGAGGCGATTCGCAAATTGAGGACTTCAGAACACTCACCGGGACCAATCAGGTAAATTTTCGGATCCCCAAAACTCTAAAACACACTTTCTTTCTCCAATCCCAGAATCTTCATTTGGATGGTGATGGTCATTCAAAAATATTACACATATATACAAAATCTCAATTTGAAAGGAAAATATGAGTGTGTAAATATACGAAATTGAGCCACTTTCATCTTTTTCTCATCCTCCTTTTTATTTCTATAATTTGCTTCGTTATGACCTTATTTATAAAAATGAAGAGGGGGAGGAATGAGAAAGAAGAGGGTGGATGATGTGGATACGATTTCAGTGAATATGGATTTACGGGTGTAAAGTAAATGATAATGATGAATATACCGGTTAATAAGATATACAAAAAATACCTATTTTCAGTCAATTTTCGGCCGTTTTGACAATTTTCAGGAGGTTAGATCTCGGCTGTCAAGTTTCTAATCATTTCGAAAATTTTGGAAAGTACGAAACAGACCTAGAAAACTTTATACTGCCAGAATTTTTGAAAACTCGTAGTTTTTCAGCTATTTGTCGCTTCTTGAAGGACAGTTGTTTGCTCAAGTTTTCAACACAAAAACAAACCAAAAAGTTCCTATGAGAAATATCAAAAAGTTGGCAACTGACAAAATGTTTATCAAAATATCAGCATGATTTTGTCAGTTGACAATTTTTTGATATCTTTCACAAGAACGGAGAGAAACTGACTTAAGGTTAAGAAATCACAAGTTCCCAAAAAGATGTTCTTCTTTTGTTTGTTATTGTCTAAAATTCCTAGAACACCCACCAAAAAGTTTTTCCTAGAGTTCCAAATTTTAAAGGAGTCTAAAATGTCGTTGTTTTTCCAGACCTCCCTTTGTTGCAGACCCTTCATTCCTTATTCGACTAGTCAATGACACCTATTTTCCCTTCTTTTTCTCTTCTTCCGCAACATTTTGGTTCCTCCTTTTCTAACGGCCCACGACGGCTATTTCTAAGCAGACTTTTTTTTACTAATCAGTGGCTTCAAAAAAGGCACATCAAAGTTCTACACCTTTTTGGAGCTGTAGTGTTCGTGACCAAAATAATGAATCACACCCAAAAACCTTTGTCCCAGTAGAGGCTCTGATCAGGTGAGGAGTGGAGAAGATGTAAACAAAAAAGAAAATGTGAATAATCAGTAATTCTATATGATTTTGTGCACTTTTTGGAGTTTAGGGAATAGTTTGAAGAGAATGATCAAACGAAATGGATCAGGTGGTCGCTAAAATTCAGACTGAAAACTGTCTGTAATCGTCTGAATGGTTTGTAAGCGTCTAGACATTTTTTTGCAGAATAAAAATGTTCGAAAGTTGACTGGAACGTCAAAAAAAGTCTGAATTTGGAAAAAAAAACATCTGGGTTTCCTAGAAATTTTCTAACCTCTTTTTCAGATCACCAAAGCTCGCTACCGTATTTTCACTAATAGAAGACCACCCAAACAAACAACTTAACGCTAAATTATCACAGTTTATTCAAAAGGTATCAAAAATGTGTCAACTGATAAAATGTTAATTGTAATACAAAAAATATTTTATCAGTTGACAAATTTTCGATATCTCTCACGGGAATTGAGATAATTGAGCTCAAAGCTGACGGTTTGGTTAGAGGAAATAGGTTATTTTATTCAGAACTTTGAGAGAAACAAATATGTGTAAAATACTTAAAAATTCTTGAAAACTTTGAAATTTACAAAGTTCTGGATCCAAAAAGTTAACAGTGAGGCTTCCATATTGGTCTGTCAAAAATTTCCCGACCGCCAATCGACCGGCCGCCGAAACACTCTCCGGCATGTTGACGCGCAAATGCATGAATTCGGTCGGCGATCGGTCGGTGGTCGGCCGGTCGGCTAAATTCCCAGACCAACTGCTTCATCAACAAGCTTTTAGTTCCTCAAAAAATTTGGAAAATTTCTTGACTGTTTTCTTTTAAAAAATTCCGAACTTTTCAGACCCAAAACTTTTTTGTTTTTTAGAACGCTTCAAAATAGACCAATTGTTTTGAAAATTATATTTTCAGCCGTTTGAAAACGTTCTCTTCAAAATGAGCCCAAGCACGGCCTAAATCCGTCAGTTTGGATTTTTAGCGAAAACACGCAACGCGTCGGAAATTTAGAGTTTCTTGGCGTGATTGAACTCATTTTGAAGCTCATGAGTCATGACGTGAAATTTTTGATAGAAGTGGTCTCTAGGTTTCAATTTTGATCCATCGGTTACTGTAGGAGATATCAAGAAGTGATTAACTTCGATTTTTTAAAGTTTTCCAAATCTTCCAATTTTATTCTAAAATTTCTTGAATTTTCAGAGTCAAAGGTCCCCTGTCTAACAGTTACGATTTCGCCAAAGCCTACAATTGTGCACCAGGCAGCCGGATGAATCCACATGATAAGTGCCGTGTCTGGTAGATAAATCCATTTCTTTCCTATTCTTTTTTTTGTGTATTTTCTTATTTTTTTCAATATTCATAACGCCCCGCTCCACCCTCTCTACTCCCATGTCCAGGAAAAATTGTGTGAAGCTTGATAAGCCCCGCCCCCTGCCAGGTTTGCTAAGGGGCGTGGCAATCGGGTCATTCTTTGCGCGCTTCTTCTTCAGCTCAAGCCGCACAACTTTTCTCATTTCACGTCTTCTGAATATATCCCGAAGAATGACTTCCTCCACAACTTCTTTATTCATTCTTCTTCTCGTCGCCACGTCGTCAATGTGGATTGGAGAAGCGGAAGCGGCAAGAATGGTTCCACAGGTAAACTAGAAATCCAGAAAATAAAATCCTAGGCCTCACAGTTTTTCCTGGACCCTGCATTTTTGTTCCTTGTTTCCAAAAAAACACACACTCCCATGGTCTCAATTTCCAATTTTCTATAATTTTCCCAAAAAATATAAGTTTGTTGCCATTGAAAATTTTCCGTTAGCTTAGCTTTTCTCCTTCCCTAAATTATAAATACTTTTTCGAAAATTTCCAAAATCTTGTATTTTACTTTTTCCCTTTTTCTTATTTCCCCTTCTACAAACACTAATAAAAACGTCCGAAAATGTGAAAATGGATGCAGAAAATGGAAAATGGTCCCATAAAAAGAGCCGTAGAAGGATTTTTATGACGTAATTTCTGGTAGAAAATTTCTGCTCTTTGCCTTTTCTGACGACAAAAATTGAAAAAAGAAGGGGGTGTCAAAAATTAGACTAGAAATAAAATTGCTGTCGAATTTTTGATGTATGAAACTTTTCAATTCTAAGATGAGCAATTGAAAAATAGAAGACGTAGAAGAAATGTTTCTTTTTTTATGACTTTTCGATTAGGGAGACTCACGGAGGAGACAGAAGTTGTCTCGTGCAGATACATTTAGGAAAACAGAAATTAGAAAAAAAAGTTGGAGGACGTCGGATTCTGAAATTCAGAAATTCAGAACTTCTGAAGTTATAAAATCCCTAAATTTTGAGAATCCGGCATTCTGAAATTCGGGATTCTAGAATTCTGAAATTCTAAAGAGGTCCCAGTGCATTGGTAATTTTTGGGAGATTCAAGTAGAAAACAATTCTAGGAGTTCTTGAAAATTCAGAATCTATTAAACCTGGAACTTTTTTTTTTTCAAATTTTAGAATTTGTAAATTTTTAAATTTTTTAAATTTCGGAATTTTGGAGTTTTAGAATTTTGAAATTTTGTGATTTCGAAAATCTTCGGCATTTTGAAGTTTTGAAATTTTAAAGAATTTCTGAGATTCTGAGATTCTGAGATTCTGAGATTCTGAGATTCTGTCATTCTGGGATTCTGAGGTTCTGAAATTCTGAAAAAAGTTCAGAATTGGAAAATCCCAGAAATTTAGAATATTGGAATCTCAAATTTTAAGAATCTTAGAACCAGAAAATCTGAAGATTCGAATATCGGAAAAAATCGTAAAATTTCATATTTTAAGAATTCCGGTATCTTTTATATTCTAAAGTTCTGGAAGAATTTTACATTTTTGGCACTTTTCCAGTTTTCAAAAAATCAAGATCTTCAAAGATTTTCAAAATGAATGTCTTCAATATTTTCATATCGCGAGATTTCATAATTTTCTTCTTATCTAAAAGAAACGCCGAAGGCGCGCCAGCCAGTTGTTTGAAGCGCCAGAGGGGCGGAATTCTGATCGTGGAATATTCTGAGGCTAATTTCCAAAATTTTCAGTCCTACGGGGGCGTCGAGCCAGGAATCCAATTTGAATTGCTGACAGCCAAACGTGGTGACGGCTACGGATGGAACGATTGCGAATTCTCACCGCTCAGCTGTCTTCTCAGACGACGTCGACGATCGATTCAGTGATAATTCAGAAGAGAGGGATCTCAACCAGTCTCCATTGTTAACAAAAAAGCGCCCACTTTTCACATTAAATTGTTTATTTTTGCAGTTTTCTTTTCTTTTTTGTTCACCAAAAAGAAATTTTTGTCGCAACACGAGCAATCACCACCCACTTTTCATGACTTCCTTTCCCCTTTTTTCCTTTGAAAATCTCAGAAACTGACATTCAAATTACTCTTTTTTCTTAATATTTCCATTTTCCCAAAAATTTATTCATCTAAAGAAAATCAAAAAAGCAGTGTTTTTTTTCCGATAGTTCTTAACCAATTATTTTTGTACTCATCATCATTTTTCGCTGACGACTCCGCCCCTTTTTTACCAAATGAACCAACAGAATAAGAGAAAAAAGAGTTGATGATTTTGCAATAAATCATGTTTCATTGTTTTTTTTTTCTAAAATTTTCTTTTAAAGGTGGGGAGGACATGAAAGTTCCGTCTAAATATGCCCCTCGAGGAGTTGAACTTGTGAGGACGAGGATTGGGGGGGGGGGGGGGTGTACGCAGAGTGACATTAAGCGTTGTACACCGTCACGGTAGAATGCATACTCTGGCTACAAAAAAACTACGAAAAATCTCCTGTCCCCCCACCTTTAAAATATTTCTTTTTAATTTCAGATTTTCAGTTTTGGAAGATTTTTCTCAGAATTTGAAAACTTTCAGAGATCACCAAATCGAATTTCAAGAAAAATCCGGGGGTGACTTGAATGCCAAAATTGAACAAAAGAAAAACAAAACGTTTTCCTCTTTTTTTGAAAACTAGCAATTGTTGTAGGCGTCAATTTTCTGGAAGAACGATTTTCCAGAAGGACGAAAATTTGGCGGAATTGAAATTTTTAGGAAAAACGGGATCTTCCAAAAAATACTAAATTCGAATAGAAGTTCAAATTGCTTCTGAAAATTTGAAATCTGATTCTCTTGATTTTGCAGTGCAAAGTTTAAAAAAAAATAATAAAAAATCTAAATTGCAGAGTTCCAGAATCTCAGAACTTTAGAATTTCAGAATTTCTGAGTTTCTGAACCTCAAAATCTGAATTTCAAAATTTTAGAAGTTTGTGAATTCTGAGATTCTGAAAATCGAGAAAAATTCTGAAAAAATTTTAATTCTCAGAATTTCAGAGACTCAAAATCTCAAAATCTCAGAATTTTCGATTTCAGAATATTTGATTTCCAGATTTTTGATTTTCAGAAATTTTTTTTCAGAATTTCAGAGTCTCGGAGTTTCAAAACTTTCGAATTTCATAATTTCAGACTTTTAGAATCTCAAATCAAAACTTTCTAAGTTTATTATAATTGAGATCAAAACTGATAATGAAACTTTAAAAACTTAAAATATCAAAAATCTAGAATTTCGGTCTTGTAGACATTCCAGCAAATGTTGGAGGTCCACCATGTTCGTGGGTGTGGATATTATTTTTCCGATGTCTGTGACGAAGTTTTTCGTCAGGAAGTTGGTAGCAGGAGCAAGAAGCGAGCTGAAAATTTTATGATTTTTTTTAATTTTAGGTTCTTGAAAATAAATTTTATGAGTCTTGAAATCAAATGCTCATTTTACAACTGACGTATTTTCTCTGATAGAAGCCTGCTCAAATCGTTACCTTTGAACTTAATCACTTTTCTGGTTCCTATGAGAGATATCAAAAATGTGTCAACTGATAAAATACTGTTAATATTATGATAAACAATTTATCAGTTGACAACTTTTTGATATCTTTCCTAGGAACCAAGATAAATTGCTTCAAGCTTGGTTATGTGGGGATCCTTCAGCTGCAGTTTTTGTATTTTTGAAACCCACAGCTTATAATTTTCAAAAACTCACAGAAACATTATCCGACAATGGCAACCTTCCAAAATCATCATCACAAGATGGATCGCCAACTCTTACGAGCCCCTGAGCAGCCAAAATTGCTTCTCTGAAAATAATTTTTTACTTCCCCAATTTTTTTTTTCAAATTTAAAAATCTTACTGCTCATCTCTCCTCTCATCTTCAGTATTCATAGTCAGAAATCTAAGAACGAGAAGATTCATGGCCGCCGAGATTACGGTAAGACCGAAAAGGATGAATACGAGGGAGAAGAAGACGTATTCAGGTTGGGTTTGAAGAGATCCACGCTTCTGAAGTGCCACGTAGTCACCGAATCCTGGAAATTTTGGTTTTTTCGAGATTATCAGATTTTGATGGTTTACCAATAGTGGTCAACGTGACGAAACAATAATAGACAGCATCGAAATATGTCCAATTCTCGTAGGAAGAGAACATGAAGGCTCCTAAGAATTTCGAAAATCGTAAAAATTGATTTTTGGGTTTTTGTTACCTCCAAAAATCAACAATCCACCCCATCCTGTACAAAAAACGATCAGGTCTGACGAAGTGACAACGGCTGGCTTTCCAGCGGCTTTTCGAATGAATCTGAGCAATTTTGCAGCAAATGTATTCATACGTTCACCTGAAAAAATGATGAGGCGTTTAGTTTGAGCTAAATTATTTCGGTTCTTGTGACAGATATCGATATTTTGTCAACTGATAAAATGTTGGTGATATTTTGATGGACAATTTATCAGTTGACACATTTTTGATATCTTTTACAGGAATCGAGATAATTTAGCTCAAAGTTGACGGTTTGAATGAGCAGCGGTTAAATCGTGCCGAAGGCGCGCCAGTCAGCTGCTTGAAGCGGCAAGGGCGCGGCAGACAAGCTGATTGGTATACATTTTTTATCATTTTTTTGAGTTTATTTTTGAATAAACCATTTTAACGTCCTCTACAGTATACAGTTCTCAAAATCTAATTTTTTTCGAAAGTCAAAAACTTACCAATACTTTGAAACATGATCAATCCCAATGGAATTCCAGCCAATGCATATAACATGCAAAAAACTTTTCCAGCATCTGTCATTGGGGTACTGTGACCGTAACCTGAAGTTTTTATTTTTATACAGTAACTCGGCTGTCGGCGCCAATACTTGGCCAGACCTCCCACGGGTCTAGCACAAGTCTCCGACCAAATTATTCTATGTATTAGCTAAGACTTGTGGGAGGCTTGTGCAAGACTTGTGGAAGGCTTGTTTTAGACTTGTGTGTGGCTTTGTGTGTTTTCATTGAAACCTGTTGTTCTGTTGTGATTGTATTTGGAATTAGATATACTACAACATTTTATTAGAACACTACACAAAACGAATAATGAGAAGAAAATTAATTAAAATCACAAAAAAATTCCACCTTTTCGTTTCCTTTTCTTTGAAATCCGTTGAAATTCATCGACAATGACAGTGTAATCGCATCAAGCCGAGTCATCTCATTTTCTCAATTTTTGCTTTGTATTTTGAAGTATCCTTTAGACGAGAACATTACGATCCAATGTCTTGCATCTGAAATACAAACGATAATTTAAAAATTCTCAGTCTTTGAACTTATACCATCACTTCCTTTTCGAAAAATTTTCACAGTTTTGGTTTCGACATTACTGACTTTTGGATAACAAGCATCCACATAATGTGCAGTGCAAATAAATTCTTCTTTACATAGTTCGAGTTGTCTTCAAATTTTAAAAAACGTTACTCCTGTGAGTTCCAAACATTGCTTTTTTTACTGAAATCGTGTTCATTTTCCACTGCGACACTCTGCGCATGCACGATTTTGACGAAACTCTGAATCGTTTTCATAGCGTTTTCAAACTCCTTGAAAAATGTGTGATACAATCAAAAAGAGATCCTCTGTCGACTGAAACAGCAGTTTTAATGCAGAATTTTTTGTGGAATTTTCCAGAAAATTAACTTTTTTCATCTTCTTTCTCCTGTGTTTTCGTGAGGCGAAATTCTGTATATTCAAGTGTTCGAATTCTGTAATATTGAACGGTTCAAACCTAAATATCTCTTCACGATAACTCACGATATGCTCACGATGTACACTTGCAGATTTATCCTTTTTCGGTTTTGCTCTTTTGAGTTGAAGTTGAATGTTCTGTCATGTTGAAAGTTCAAAACTTCAAAATTTCTTATACCAAAAAAATTAAAATGCCTTCATAAAATTCAATCCTTTATGAAAATAGTAGAAAAATAGGTAAAACAGAAAAAAAATTGAAAATCAAATGATGAGTCCGAAGGTAAAAAATCAATAATCAGAATTTGGCCAAGACTTGTAGCCATCCGACTATGGGCCAAGACTTGTGGAAGCCATCCCAACGGCTCATGGAGGCGCATACTTTGGCCAAGACTTGTGGGAGGCTTGGCCAACACTTGTAAAATCATGAAATTTGGCCAAGTATTGGCACCCGCAACCGAGAACTGACAAAAAATAATATCGTTTTGATTATTTCAGTAGAAAAGTAGTCAGTTTTGAAGACCTGAAAAAGTAGTCCAAAATTTTCCAATTTATCTGAAAATTGCAGAGTACACTAAACTTAATAAGAGCTTTAATTTGTAATTGACAACTTTTCAGCATATTTTTTGGTTTTTAAGAGATGCACCTTTAAAAACTAAGTGTCTACTCCTCTCTCGGCGATCAATCATCCCGTATTTAAAGGCACATATCTCAAGAACAAATTTAGAGGCACAATAGTTGTCAACTACAAAATTTAAGCCCTGTTTTTGTTAGGTATAGTCTGAAATTTTCACATAAATTCTTTCACATAGATAAACGTTGCACTATTTTTTCAGGGCTTTAAAGATGACTATATTCCTCTGAAAACATGATTTTTTATGTCCGAATTTAAAATAGTTTTTGAAATTCTAGCTTTTGATTTTTAGGTTCTGATTTTTGCTTCAAGATTACTGTACTCTTACCAATTGTGGTGATTACTGTAGTTGCGAAATAAAAAGCGCCACTAAATTTCCATTGGTATCCAGCCTTATGTGGGACACTTTTCACAATTGTCGCCTCCAAAATCTCATAATCTGCATTTGACATGTTGTACTTGGTCTTCAGCTTTTCACGAACTCGAGCCACTAGTTTTCGCTGAAATTTTTTTTTTTAAAGTGGAACTTTCTGTTTAAATTCAGTTGAAATTAAAATTTGATTCATTTTTCCAACCTGTAAAATCTCATTTTCAGTTTCCAGAGCATCAAAAACTGCTGCCCCAACCAATAAGTACGTCAATGTGCAAACAATAAGTGATAGGGTTCTAATATTCTGGCGCTTCATGAGAAAATCTGAAAAATGACTCTTTTTGAAAAAGAAGCTTTAAAAACTGTTCTGTCAAAAATATGTAAAAAATATAATGTTAGTGATATTACGATAAAAAATTTATCAGTTGAACATCTTTTCATATATCTTACAGGAATCCATATAAATTTTTCCGAAGTTGAACGTCAGTGGGGGGGGGGGGCCTTCTATTAGAGGTTTTACGGGGGAAAACGCTCTTGGAAAAATATTTAATTTGTACAACAAAGGAGTTATTGAACATTTTAGAAATACTTTGAAAATTAACATATTTATAACAATTGAATGACAAAACTTTGAAAATGTTTCAGGTTTTCTGGAATTTTGGAAATGTAAAATGACCAAACACAGAATTTAAGAATAATTTTGAAACTTTGGAAACCTTTTGAAGTTCTCTAGAACGTTCGGAATTCCAGAAATAACAATTTTCAGAATTCCATATTTCCAGCATTCCAGAAATTGGAAAATCAAAAAAATCTAGCTATCAAAAACTTTCATGAAATCAAAAAAAATTCAACACATCCCACGGAGAAAAAGAGAGAGGGAGCTAGTGATGAAAGAGAGAAAGTGTAACCCATCCGGAGCGAAACATCTTGGAATTCTGAAGAGCAAAACAGTGTGGGAAATCGAGAGAATTAGAGAAAGAGAGAGAGAGAGAGAGATATCAGAGAGAGGAAACGGGATGTGTTGACATGGCAGATGGATCGAATTAGAGAAGAAAGGTCTTAGCTTCCTTGTGCTAAACGATTTTTGAGAGATAGAGGGTGGTGAGAGATAGGAATTGAGCGGAGACGGAGAGAAATACAGATTTCAAAAAGATGTAAATAATAAGATAAACAAACATCTATTTTTAAAGGTGGGGGGACATGAAAAAAATAATGTTCTCGAAATTTCGTTTAAATATGCCCCTCGAGGAGTTGAACTTGTTGGGGCGATGGTTGAGGGTGCGGCGCCGCTACCGACTGAGCTACACGAGCAAAGAAAAAGCGGTCGCCCGATTGCATACATAAAGGCGAGGACGACAGCTGTACGCAGAGTGACATTAAGCGTTGTACACCGTCACGGTAGAATGCATACTCTGGCCCCAAAAATCCCCCGTAAAATCTCCTGTCCCCCCACCTTTAATCAAATTTTCCGCTATTCTGACCATTTTCAGGAGTCTGGAGCTCGGCGGAAGATGAATTAGATTATACTTTAGGTGGAATAGACTACTGTAAGTGGATTGTAGATGGTACTGTAGAATTACTATAATCAAAATAACTTTATTAAACATCGAAAATTATAAAATTATCAAAAAAGCTTAGTGTCTAGAATCCAGACTCAAAAGTTAATTTCATCGAAATCCACTTTCCGTTGGAATCTCAAGTTGCAAACTTCCAACTAATTGATCGTAAATCGGATGAATCGGATTGATTTGAGAGCCAAACGACGAGGAAGACGGAGATGGAAATGATCCAGTTTGCGAACTCTTCGATTGCTCATCCATTAGTTTTTGATGAAGTGATAGGATCTCCTGACTCAGTGCCGGGAGCTCATCTTGTTCTCTGACAACGTTTTCGAGCATTTCCAGCGAGACGAAGTAGTTCTGAAAAATAAAAATTTAAAAAAAAATTGTCGTTCTGAAACTGAGATTCTTCGGTTTTCAGAGTTTCGGAATCCGGAATTTCGAGGTTCACAGATGAGGTTCTTAAGTTTTAAAGTACCGGAGTTCACAAAGTCTGAATATCCGAGATTCTAGAATGTTGAGATTCTGAGATTCAGAAATTCAGAAATTCAGAAATTCAGAAATTCAGAAATTCAGAAATTCAGAAATTCAGAAATTCAGAAATTCAGAAATTCAGAAATTCAGAAATTCAGAAATTCAGAAATTCAGAAATTCAGAAATTCAGAAATTCAGAAATTCAGAAATTCGGAAACTCGAAAATTTGAAAACTTTGAGATTCCGAGATTCTGAGATTTTAAAATTTTGAAATACAGAAGTTCCGCAAATTAGAAATTCTTAAAAATTCCGAAACTCTGAAATTCAAAGATTCTGAGATTCTGAGATTCTGAGATTCTGAGATTCTGAGATTCTGAGATTCTGAGATTCTGAGATTCTGCCATTCTGCCATTCTGCCATTCTGAGATTCTGAGATTCTGAGATTCTGAGATTCTGAGATTCTGAGATTCTGAGATTCTGAGATTCTGAGATTCCGCTTATTTCGGAATTTTGAAAGTTCAGAAAAAAGAATTTTGAAGGTTCCGAAAATTTGGACAACATCAAGAATTTCGATGTTCAGAACGTCATAATTCTGAAGTTCGAAAATTCCAAATTTTCGAGATTCCAAAAGTCCGAAAAATATAATATTTTGATTTTGGCGCTATGGTTTTTTTTCTCGTTCAAAATTACAGACTTAGACTGAAACTCTTTGTTTTCTTTTCACTGATAAACTCGCATTCTGGCACCAATTTAAAAAATAATTACATTAGAAACACCGTACCTTTTCCCTCTTCAATCTATCGTCTTCCTCGTTCACTTCACTCTTCGTCTTCAATTTCATCCCAACATCCAAACATTTTTTCAATCGACAACCATCACACTTTCTTCGAGTAATCACATTTATATCACAATCTCCATAATACGTACACCGAATCTTCATCATTATTTTTCGATCATCTTGGTCCAAAACAATCGGTCTGGTTTTGTCTAATAAATATAGCTCTCGACATTTTTTCAAAAATTCTTCCTGATAATTAGTAAAGAAATTCCTGCAAGAATTACAGGAAATCACACCGTAATTGTATTTCTCTGCATTTGCTCCGCAAACTCGACAGATCTGAAAAAAAAAGAGAAAATTGCAGTCTGTGAATTAGAAGGGTTTCAGCTCACATCTTCGGGCATTTTTCTTCGTTCTGCTTTTTTTCGCTTTGTGATATATTGAGATCTTGAATCTTGTTTTGTGAATGTGCAAAACATTTTTAGTGAGCGGATCTTCTGAAAATTAGTTCACTTTGAACTCAATTATCTCGGTTCCTATAAGAGATATCAGAAACTTGTCAGCTGATAAAATACTGGTGATATTATGATAAATAAGTTATCAGTTACAATTATAGGGTTCAAGCGAGGGGGTCAGAAAGCGCGCCTCAGTAAATTTTTCAAAATCTCAATTCGCTGCCGAATTTCGTTGGCTGAGTATCACAGTTTTAAACGATGAGCGAAAATACGAGCGTTGCAACCCGTTGATTTTTAAGAAATAGATCATGATCTAGTTCAAACCCGCGTTCTTTTTAAAATTATTAAATTTCTTAGTGGCCTACGAGCTTGCTGGGGCGCTTTTTCTGACCCCTTCGCTTGAACCAAAGTGAGTGAATGAATGAAAATTTAAAAAATCAGAAAAAAATTTGAAAAGACTCGAAATCATTTTGAATCAAAATCATTGATTCGAAATGGAGAAAAAACGAGAAAAAAATTGGCGCGGAGTTTTCGAAATGTAGATCAAAATATAAGTTTAAATTATAGATCAAAAACAAACCAAAAATTTTCAAATCAAATCGTCACTTGGGTTCAAGCGAGTGGGTCAGAAAGCGCGCACCAGTAAATTTTTCAAAAATTCTCAATTCGCTGCCAAACTTCGTTGGCTGAGTATCACAGTTTTAAACGATGAGCGAGAATACACGCGTTGCAACCCCAAGTGAATCGTACCAAATTTTGAAAATAGCATGTTTAAAAATTGTGCATTTTTGCGGGACGGTTTACAATCATCATGGCTACCGTACTTCTTTTTTGATCGGCAGATATAAGCCACAACTGCGTAGCTCCTTCTAATTTTTTTTTAATTCTCAAAAAAGTATGAATCAATTTATTTACAAAAAATCCCAAAAAATTAAAATATGAGTTACCGTATTTGTTCTAATGAAAGTCCAACCTATTATTTTGATATCAGTTATCTTGGTTCCTGTAAAATATATCGAAAATTTGTCAGCTAATTAAATGTTTATCATGAAATAGCCGATATTTAATCAGTTGACGGACTTTTGGTATCTCTCAAAGGCAGCAAGATAATTAGGCTCAAAGTTGACGATTTGAATGGGCTTCTAGTTGAGGAAAAATTTATCACAAAACATTAAAATTTATCAGTTTCTTATTTCTTTTGATACCGGCATACTGTGGAACCACATCGGCATGGGAACTTCTGAAATACATTAATTTTTCACAAAATTTAAAACTAATATTAACCTTATTCGCCCACCAAGCCTCTCCGTAATCAATTGTCAGCTCCTCTCGTTTTTTAATCAATCTATCAGTGTAGAAGCACATATGAATAAGTTGAATCTCGTCGTAATCCCAGCTTACATTGGCGACCTGAAAATAAGAAAATGTACATAAAACCTGTAAAGGAAGAGCATCAATACTGCCAAGTTTGAGCGCTCAATTCGTATGCACGACATCTGAAATTCGTCAACTGATAAAGTGTTTGTGATATAATGATAAACAATTTATCAGCGGACTACTTTTCGATATCTTTGACAGGATTTGAGAAAAATTGGCTCATGCTGAAATTTTCAAAATTCTGAAGTACTCACCTTAACATTTGGAGAGCAACTATGATTGATGAACCTTGTATAGTTCCCAGAATACTTGGCATCGATAGTCAACGTCTCGGGACCCTGAAAAATTTCAAACAATTTCCTATGCATCTTTAAAAATTTCAAACCAACCACTCTGGTTTCAAAAAGGAACGTTGAATCGTGTCGTTCAGTGGCCTCGTCATCATCAATCAATTCGCCTGCGTATTCTCCGATAAACGTTCCAAATGGGATATCTACAGAAGCACGAACTCCCCAACCACACCAAGGATCGCGGGCGAAGATCTAGAATTGGGCCTCGGAATTTCAGAAATCTTCTGAAAACTTGAAAATCTCACCTCCACCGGATACATGGCCCCTTTTTGAGCCACACGATTGCCACACCAAAGTGCACATTCACAATTTTCATTGCACTCTCTTACAGTATCCCACATCAATTGATCCATGTCTTCTACAGTACCCTTTCGACTGTAGATTGACGAAGAGCACTCACAATGTTTCGTGCATTGACCAGAGCAGTGGCAAACCTAGAAACTTTGACTTTCCGCTAATTTTTCTCGATTCCTATGCAAGATATCAAAAATGTGTCAACTCATAAAATGTTTCTCACATTTTGATAAACATTTTATCAGTTAACAAATTTTTTATATCTTTGACAGGAACCGAGATAAATATAAAGGTAAGATTCTTCTGAATACTTACAAAAGTAGGCGTGGCGCTTCTTGAGGCAAGATTTCCAGAAAAATCGATAATCCTCGTTGTGTATTTGAAAGTGTCAAAAACCAAAGTGTCCATTGAAAAACAAGGATTTGAAAAGACCGGAACTGTGAAACGCTCACATCCTTGCGAGATGTCTCTGAAAGTTTTCCGATTTTGTGATTCTGAGATTCTGAGATTCTGAGATTTGGAGATTCGGAGATTCTGAAATTCTGAGGTTCTGAGATTCTGAGATTCTGAAATGCAAGAATTCTGAAATTCGAAGATTCTGAGATCCTGAGTGTCTGGGATTCCACTATTTGCAAATTTCAAAATTCTTAGATTATAGAACTCACTCATATAAAACCACAGGCTGTTTATTGATTTCCTTGTGCCATTCGTTTCCTATATTTGGCTGAAAAATCTCATTTTCAGCTGAAAAATGCCTTAAACCTTACCATTTTAAACTTTTAATTGAATTTGAACAAACTCCTGCAAAAAAGCATTGTTCCCCTTTTGAAAAAATACAAAAAAAAACACAAAAAGAATTCGGAAAAAAATGGAGAAAACAATCAGAGACAAAGTGAGTAAGAATCGAATTGAAAATTCAATTTTCGAATGGATTTCGACAAAATTTTTTTTGGGACAAAAATAAATAAAATTTCGAAAAAAAGACAAAACAAAATTGTTCAGTTTGGACCTAAAAATGGGAAAAATAAAATAAGAAAAGTCAAGAATACAAGAAATTTGATCCTCAAATTTTGTGACATAGTCTTAAGAAAAAAAAATGGAAAGAAATGGAAAATTGAGAATAAAAAGAAAAAAGGAAATTTGAGCAAAAATAGAAACAAAAAGAGGGAAATAAGGAGAAAGGACAAATTGGGGTTTTGAGGACTCAATGAGCCGGAATATGATGGATAAAAAATATTGAGATTTTCTGGAAATGACGTATAAAGAAGGGGGCGGAGCCTAGTGACGACATGGATGGGATTTTTTAGAACAAAAAAATTAGAATTTCAGAATCTCAGAATCTCAAAATCGCAGAATCTCAGAATCTCAGAATCGCAGAATCTCAGAATCTCAGAATTTGTGAATTTGAGAATTTGAGATTTTTCATAATTTCAGAATTTCAGAATTTTAGCATTTCAGAATTTCAGTATTACAGATTTTCAGAATTTCAGAATTTCAGAATTTCAGAATTTCAGAATTTTAGAATTTCAGAATTTTAGAATTTCAGAATTTCAGAATTTCAGAATTTCAGATTTTAATAATCTCAGAATCTCAGAGTCTCAGAATCTCAGAATCTCAGAATCCCAAAACCCTCGAAATCGTCTGAATCTAAAATTTTCGAATTTCGTAATTTCAGCATTTTAAAATTTGCAAGAAATCAATACTTTTTTCCAAAAAAAATCATTTTTTACTACATTTTTAATACATAGATTCTGATTTTCGACCAAAATTTATTAAAACTTTGAATATCGAAACCTTCGTAATTCTTCAAAACCTGATAGCGATTTTGGGACACCTATCTGGAACTTCAAAAAATTCTTAAAATGCCGAAAATCATAAACTCCAAAAAATTGAATTTTTAACATTCTAGCATTATCCAAAATATTTTAATTTCCTTTTTTCAACATAAAAAGAACTGACCAGAAACGCCTAACAACAATGATTTCATGCGTTTCCCGACTATACAGGAAATAAGCCGGAAATTGGAAAATTTCCATATTTGTACATTTTTCATTCTGGTCATTTGAATATTTTATTGGAAGTCTTTCATAGTATATTATAAGAAATATATATATATATATATATATAAAAGCGAAAAAACAATTAATTAAAAGTTATATTATTCTCTTCCGCTGTTGTCGAACTGGCTGAAACGGCATCGGAGCTTCTCGTTTTGTCCATTTTTGCCTCAGTCGTTTAGGATGAGCCGAAGATGATGTTGATTGTTGCTTCGAAGTAACTGAAATGAATTATCTAGATTTTAAGCTCCCAATTCTTTTTGTACTATACCTCTGTCACAAGTTGATCGACTGGAAATTTTTTTCGAAATCCGCGAACTTAACACTTCCGTCTGAAATCAACTTTTTTCTCTGATATTCGTTTTCACATTTACCCACTGTTCCAGAACTTTTTCCTTCCTCATTCTCAGTTGCGTTTTTCCGGAGTGCCCAGTCGACATACAAAAAAATTAAGATTTTCTGGCACCCTGAAAAATTAGATTAAAAATTCGGATTTTCTGGACGCTTCTTACCTTTTGAAAGTACAGAAGCAATGCTTCTTCCAGAGTTTTTCGAAATTTCGGCTTCTTGCTTCCCACTTTTGTCTTCCGGCCATTTTCTCTATTTTTCTGCAAACAAAACGATACATTCATGGTTATACAGTATTCTAGTATAGTATTATATGTTAATTAATAGATTGCGAACAAAAACTGCGAAGAAAACGGCGAAAAAAGAAGTAAAGTATCCAAAGTAAGAAAACGAAATTCGGAAAATAAAAAACAAGAATTTCTTCGCGATTGTTCAATTGTGGACTTTTTATAGGGCCAGTTAGTAAGATACGCATTTTGCTCGCGAATGGTCAATTGTAGAGCCTCTCGTTCGCGGTAGATAAGTAATTGGTCGATTATAGCCCTTCTTCTGTAATTGGTCAATCACGAATCACCTGTGTGTGCATGCGCAGTCGTTGCGCGAGAGGTCGCAGGTTCAGTTTTCGCTGCGGCCAAACTCTTATTTAAAAACCCAAAACCGGACAGACTGACACCGGGACCAACAGACGCGTCTAGCGTTTTATATATAAGGAAGATATATAAATAGGGATTTTTCTCAGTATGATCTCATTCGTGAGAATCAAGAGTTTGGCAAAAAAATAGCTTCCTTTTCCCATGGTCCAAAAATGGAGTTCTGGGATTTTTTGATAATTTTGGACGTTTTTTAGGTTAAAAATACAATTTTGCAGTTAAAATAGCTCACATTTTATTTTCAACGAATAAGAAGAAAAAAAGATAAGTGGAAGTCTTTTTGAGTTGAAAATAAAGCTTTTTATGAATGGAAAAAGGAAGTAGGTGTGGTTAGAAAAAGAAGAAGAAAGGAAAATATGAGAAAGTTGGGTAAACAAATTTTCAGTTTTTAAGATTTCAACTATTTTTATAGTTTTTGCAAAAGAAAAAGAAGATTTTTGAAACTTCAGGAGACACTTGAGACGTTTTCGAGGAGCTTGTGGAGGTTGAAAAGAAGAAATCAAATTTATAGGGAAAAAAGAGTTAGGGGTTTGTGAACTTTGAGAAATGTGATTGAGCAAGTTGAGTAGAAGCTTTGATTTGGAAAGGTTTGGGTTACTGTAGATTTGAAACTTTAAACTTCAAGAAGTCTAAATGTCTGAGAATCTCCGAGCCAGCAGTTTTGATTCTGAGATCCTGAGATTCTGAAATTCAGAGATTCTGAGATTCTGAGATTCTGAGATTCTGAGATTCTGAGATAAGATTTCGAAACTCTATAAAATTCTGAAGTCTCAAAATTATCCAATTATCAACGGGATATTCAAGAATTATAATATTTCAAACCTCTGAATTAGAATCTTGATGTTTCAGACTTTTTCGAATATCAGAATACTTAGCAAGATGGGCGTGAGAATGTCTGACTTTTGATTCTCAGAAGCCCACATTCTCCAGACTTCAGAATCTAAAAATAGATAGTTCGAAAAGTACAATCACACAGGATTTTGGAATTCGCTGATCTTCATTGAAATTTAAAAGTTAGCATCTTGAAAATTTATTAATTTCCGAGTTACCGTAAACACTTAATAGAGTGCCACCCAAATCGTCAGATTTTAGCTCATATATCTCGGTTTCTATAAAAGATATCAGAAATCTATCAAGTGATAAATTGTTTATCATAAAATCACAAACATTTTACCTGTGAACACATTTCTGATATCTTTCACAGGAACCAAGATATTTAAGCTCAAACTGTGGGTATATAGTGAGATTCTATTGAAATACGGTATCACAAAACCACATAAACTGACACAATCTAATCATAAATTGAGATCTATATCTACAGTAATCTTCATATTGATTTTTGTTGCTCTGTCACCTTTTGAACAGCAAAAATAGCCCAAACCTCTATAGTTAAAAACCAAAAAAACCGCAAATCCTCCCACAGAAATGAGGCCATCAAGGTTCCGATTCCGAGATTCCGACTCTCTCCGTTTTCTAACAAAAAGGCCTTCCCAGAAAAAAAAGATCCAAAAAAGGGGGAAGTGCACTGATTCAGAGAGTCCCTCTCTTTTGGAGCACAATCCATTCAAATTGCTCGTTTATTGAAAAGAAAAACCGAGAGGGGCCCTCTCTTTTTATCCATAAATATTATGTCCTTTTCTCCTTTTTCCTTCTTTCCAAATTTCTTTTTTTTCTTCTTTTGACATAAAAATAGATTCTTGCATTTTTTTTTTGGTCTTGTGAGTGTGGTGGTGGTCCATTTATTTCATTTTGTTCGAGAATAGAAAAAGAAGGGGAAGAAAAATGGGGAGGTCAAGGGAATGGGATAATTGGAAACATATATGGGATTATATGGATCAGAATGTGGGGTCTAATGGGACTGATGACGTCATACTGAAATTTTGGGAATCAGAGATACAGAGACTCAGAAATACAGAAGGTTCACAAGGGAAGTGTTTTCAGACAGTGGTTGAGAATTTGTTCAAACTTTGGTAATTGGTACTTTTGGACACGCTGATCACAGTGCTGCTTTTATTTTTTGCCCCTTGCCCCTCACAAAAAAGTTATGGGCTCTGAAAGTGATTTCAGTGCTAATTTCTCACTTTTGGAGTGAATTTTTGGAGGGGTTAATGACAGTTGTTGGGAGTTTTTTGAATGTAAATTGTACTTTTGAAAGTTTCTCTACAATCTGAAAAAGTAACCTCATTTTTCAAAAAATTTTTTTTTTGAAAAAAAAGTCGCCATGGGTACCCCCTTTGGCAATTTTTTGAATTTTTTGAAAAATAGTTCTGACTAACAATTTGATTAAAGATGGATTTCCAGCAGTGCTTCAAGAAAATTTCAAAATGTATTTCTTGGGTTTTTTTTCGAAACAAGTCAAAAATAATTTTTTTTTTCAAAATTAATAAAAATCTGAATGAAAATTAAAAAAAAAAAGATTTTGACACACTTTGAGATTTCCAGAAAGATCAGAAAAAAACAACAAAAAACAGGAGAGAGGGGGAGAGAGGGATCGAACTAACACTTGTCAGTTATCACCATCCCTCTTCACCACTACACCACACTTCGCTCTTCCTCATTGCTTCCACAATTTGTATAAGAAAGGGGGGAGACCGCGCTCACGCTTTTAATGCTTTAACAGAGGTGAAATTTCAGACGCGTTTTTTCAGCTTCTAGGTACCGAGGGGCACGAAATAAAGTTGTCTCGTTATTCACCATGTCCGAAAGTATATGTGTACCAATTTTCAAGAAATTCTCAACCACTGTCTGAAAACACTTCCCTTGTCAGAGATACAGAGACTCTGAGATTCTGAGAATCTGAGATTCTGAGATTCTGAGATTCTGAGATTCTGAGATTCTGAGATTCTGAGATTCTGAGATTCTGAGATTCTGAGATTCGGAGATTCTGAGATTCTGAAATTCTGAGATTCTGAGATTCTGAGATTCTGTGATTCTAAGATTCTGAGATTCTGAGATTATGAGATTCTGAGATTCTGAGATTCTGAGATTCTGAGATTCTGAGATTCTGAGATTCGGAGATTCTGAGATTCTGAAATTCTGAGATTCTGAGATTCTGTGATTCTAAGATTCTGAGATTCTGAGTTTCTGAGATTCTGTGATTCAGGTTCAAAATCTGAAATTTTTAGAATTTTAGAATTTCAAAACTTAAAATTTTCAAAGTTTCAGAGTTCTAGAAAATTCTAACAATACATCCCTGAAAAAAATCGAATGTAAATCATCGTTCAAATCCAATTATCTAAAGATTCCAAAAATTGAAATCACAAAAAAATGTTCAAAATTCGGAATATTAGAAATTTTAGAATCTTTGAAAAGAAAGGAAAACATACAATTTTTGGAAATAAATTTTGACATTATACAAAGGATTATAAACTTTCGTTTTTTGAAAAAATTGGAAAATTTTCAGAATTTCACAGTTTAAAAACTTCTAAATAAATTATAAACTATTGAAATTAGTCAGATTCGTCTGATTTAGTTAAAGAATTGAAGAGCAAAATGGACAACATGGACAAAATAAGTGAATAATTCATTGAAAAACGGTTTCCTTATTCTTTCGGCTGTTCTTAACCAGAATAGCTGAAAAAAGAAGAGCTCATGTTTTAGTTAGAAGACGTTACTTTTATTTTTAGGATTCAGAGAAAAACAACGAGAAAAAACTATTTTAAGGAACTGAACTAATTTTACAAGTTCGGGTATCTGAATTTCTGAATTTTTGAATTTCCGAATTTCTGAATTTCTGAATTTCTGAATTTTGGAATTTCTGAATTTCTGAATTTCTGAATTTCTGAATTTCTGAATTTCTGAATTTCTGAATTTCTGAATTTCTGAATTTCTGAATTTCTGAATTTCTGAATTTCTGAATTTCTGAATTTCTGAATTTCTGAATTTCTGAATTTCTGAATTTCTGAATTTCTGAATTTCTGAATTTCTGAATTTCTGAATTTCTGAATTTCTGAATTTCTGAATTTCTGAATTTCTGAATTTCTGAATTTCTAAATTTCTGAATTTCTGAATTTCTGAATTTCTGAATTTCTGAATTTCTGAATTTCTGAATTTCTGAATTTCAGAATTTCTGAATTTCTGAATTTATGAATTTCTGAATTTCTGAATTTCTGAATTTCTGAATTTCTGAATTTCTGAATTTCTGAATTTCAGAATTTCAGAATTTCTGAATTTATGAATTTCTGAATTTCTGAATTTCTGAATTTCTGAATTTCTGAATTTTTGAATATCTGAATTTCTGAATTTTTGAATATCTGAATTTCTGAATTTTTGAATATCTGAATTTCTGAATTTCTGAACTTCTGAATTTCTGAATTTCTGAACTTCTGAATTTCTGAATTTCTGAATTTCTGAATTTCTGAATTTCTGAATTCCTGAAAAAAATAGGGCGACGGGCGGGTGTCACACCCGGGCGGGTCGGGCGGGTGAAATTCGCGTGAGATGGAAAGCTTACTTCAAACTATAGAACTCAAGACTTCGAATCTAGAAGAAAAAGTTTTCTTTTCGTATCTTGTGAAGTAAAAAACCTACAAATAACACAAACAACATGCAGTCGGGAAAAAAGAAAAAGGAAACGTGCTAATTTTCTTTCCTTCTTGTTTTCCCAGGATCCCCTAACTAGTAGAATTAGAGGAAAAAACAACGGGATCTTTTTGGTTATATATTCCGTATGTATTCAAATGTCAAAGAATTTATTAGTAATTGAAAAAAAAAGAAAAGGGATGTGGACCGAAAATTCTAAAGATTTTAATACTTGAATTTAGGGGGAAAGCGGGACATCAAAAATGAAAGAATAAGCCCTTTTCCTACCCCTTCCTCTTTTCTTCATGTCACTAATCTCTTTTTGGAAATTGCCGAAAAAAAGAATTTCGAAATGTTTCTAAGATTTCAATGTTGAGAGACCAATGTTGAAAATTTTTTTTTCAGAACATCCGACCAGCCAACACCAACACCGGCTCCGTGACGTCTCCTCGAATTAGAAAAATTACCGTTGTTTGATGCAGATGCAGTTCAAGAAAAACTTGCTATCATCACAGAACAGTTGACTTCAGGAAATATCATTGGAGACACTGAAAGTTTTATTCGAAATATTTGTGATGGTTTGATTGGATTCATTGGAAAACGGACTTTTTCATGGGGATCGGGATGCTCGTCATATTCATAATTTTCAGCATTGATTTTCTGGGAGATTTGCCGGGAATATCGAAGAAGTTGTGGTCAAATATCACGGTCAAATACTTTGGAAGAAATACAGAAAAAATATTTTTTTCCATTTTTGACATTGCTTAATTTCCCTATTCTTTTTGTTTTTTTTTCCAATATTATTTTCAATAAAAGTTTGATTACCCAAGTTTGAGGTTCTGTTGGCATCGTGAAAGGTTCTACAAACAGTGATGGTTTCCCGGGGACAAATTCCGAAAATAAGAAAATTAGGATCAAAATTACTTACTACTAATTTTAGGATATCCCTTTTCGGGCGGCCCGTATGACCAGTATCATATCGATCAAACGTCAGGCCGTACTTAACAAAACCCAAAAAAAATTCACCTGTTTTCCATCCAACTCATTTCCGTATTCTTAGTAGCCGGTGTTTTTTATTCTTGTGGTTTTTATGCTGAACCTATGGAAATTTTTTTATTCGCACTATTCGATTCATTTCCAATTCCATATCTTTAGAATCGAGTACTATTTCAAATTTCACATAAAAATCATTCTTATGTTTCAGTCTTCTTTTTTTCTATTTCTTCTCCTGTACTCCTCCATTCTTTTGTTATTCCGTTTGTTGAAAGACAGCTTTTGATATTTCTCTTTCACTATCAGACAGCCGTTCCCCCCTACTTTTTTCACTCATTTGCTTTTGTTGGCCCTTATTACACTCTCCGGTACAGGAATGAAGAACTCGATTTTTTTTTAATGAACTGATTCACAATTTGAAAATGCAAATTTATTCATTGAAATCACAATATCTCGGTCATACAGAACTTAGAATTTATGGTATATCATTCTGGCGGCTTTGACGATTTGCCATCCCGTTGGTGAATTAAAGTCCTACAAAGTTATTTAATTTTTTGAGTTAGCTTAAATAGAAATTCTCACTTTTTCAATAACGATTTTATGCCAAGTAGTGTAGTTGTTGTTCTTCCCATTGAAGAACGTTCCTTCGATTCTTGAGGTGCCATCGAAGAATGCATATGATGTTTTCAGATCGTACCCTCTGAAACGACGCATTTGGTAGTCGAGTGCATCCTCGTCACTTGCTGTAATTTTTTGAAAGCTTTACAGATTAATTTGAATAAAACGCACGATCGTATACTTTGAACAGCTTTATGAATAGTTGACGATTATTTGTTTTGATAGCGCCTTCTAAAGCATGAAGTTGGTTTTGAAGATAGGTCAGCGCCCAACCACATTGCTTGGGGCCATCGCTAGGAGGTGGTGGCCCTCCGGAGTAGGCAGACACAGAGAGTACAATCGAAAGAAGAGGAATAAGATGCATTCTGTCGAATGATGGGGTGAGGAGAGTCGAGAGGGCTGGTTTTAAAGGCGGCGAGTTAATCGAATACAGGGGGGAAACTCTGGGAACGAGGGGTCTCGATTAGCGTTTCCTTCATCCATAAAAACTATTTTCTTTTTCTGATTTTTTATTGCTTCGAAAGATAAGAAAAGACGAAGAAATAACTTTGAAAAAAAACATTGGCTCAGATCATTGGGGCAGTAGCTTACGGTGTTACTGGTCATGGGGTCATGGGGTCATGGGGTCATGGGGTCATGGGGTCATGGGGTCATGGGGTCATGGGGTCATGGGGTCATGGGGTCATGGGGTCATGGGGTCATGGGGTCATGGGGTCATGGGGTCATGGGGTCATGGGGTCATGGGGTCATGGGGTCATGGGGTCATGGGGTCATGGGGTCATGGGGTCATGGGGTCATGGGGTCATGGGGTCATGGGGTCATGGGGTCATGGGGTCATGGGGTCATGGGGTCATGGGGTCATGGGGTCATGGGGTCATGGGTCATGGGGTCATGGGGTCATGGGGTCATGGGGTCATGGGGTCATGGGGTCATGGGGTCATGGGGTCATGGGTCATGGGGTCATGGGGTCATGGGGCCATGGGGTCATGGGGTCATGGGGTCATGGGGTCATGGGGTCATCAGGTCAATACATAATGAGGTCACTATGTCTTCGGGTCATATGGTCATGAGAATATTTCATGGGATCATAGAGGCTATTAGTCTATGGGGACACTATGTTATGGAGACACTCATGCGGTCACTATAATGGGAACAAGTTGACAAAGCCGTAACTAGATCATGGGACATGGATTCCATGACAAAAATTTCAAAATCTTTATTATAGATTTACATTGTATTTGAGTTTGAATCTGTTCGTGGGGATCGTTTACCACAAATCATTCCGTTTTGCTCGCTCTTCCTTTCCGCACTCGATGGCGACTTTTTCAATGTAATAGAACTGATCCATTTCGTCCTGAAATATAAAGTTTTGTGATTTTGAAAAGTTGGAATCTAATTTTAAAAAAAACTGACCCATTTCACATCAAAAATCCAAGTATGGACGTAATTGAAAGTCGGATTTCCACCGCCCTCCATAATTGGCTCCGAGAATGTAGTTAGACGGAATTTTGCAATGTCCTCTGCCGGAAGAGTGACGTCAGAGTCATACTTGAAGTTTACATATTTTACCTCATATTTGTGCACACCAAACAATTCGATACGCTCTGAATGTAGTCAAAATTTTAATCAAATTTCCAAGGGAATAGCTCACTAGTATTTCCAAAATCACAGTACGCAATCTCCAAAGATCCTTTTTCTTTGACGTACTGATCAACAAAATCAATGGCGGAATGCCATGAGACAGGTTTCAGAGTTGTTAAATGGTCGATTTGACTTTCAGAAACAACTTCTCGGATTGCCATCAGCGACTTATCCTTGAGCTTAAAATCCGGGGAGCACAAAATGTCAAGAGCCACGATGGTCCAGACACCTTGATCATTCTGCAAAAATTGATCTTGCCAGATATCGGGTGTGATTGAGTTATGGGGTCAGTAGGTTATGGGATTGCTGAATCAGCAAGGTCATCGGGCCATCGTACCATCGGGCCAATAGGTCATCGGTCATGGAGGGACAAGGTCGTAGGGTCATTATGCCATGGGGCATTAGGTCATGGGGTCCTGAGGCCACTACGTCATGGGTTCACTGAATCATGAGATCACTGAACCATGAGGCCACAAAGTCATTGGACCTTAAAGTCATGGAGTCATCGAGCCACCAGGGTATGAGGTCTGTAGGTTAGGTCAAGGAGCATGGGTTCACTAGTTTCTGGGGTTATTAGATCATGGGGTTATGGGGTCCCTAGACCATGGTTCATTATATCATGGGGTTGTGAGGGGCATGGGACAATAGGTCATTGGGTCATGGATGCATGGGGTCACTGGGTTATGGGGTCACAAGGCCATTGGATCTTCAAGTCATAGGTTCAATATATCGCGGGTTTATGGGATCACTAGGTCATGGGTTCACTAGGTCATGGGGTCATGGGGTCATGAGGTCATGGGGTCACTAAGCCACGGAGTCCAAAGGTCATTGTCCATTCGATCATAGAGTCACGGACCTCAAAGTTATGGGGTCAGGCTATGGGACCCCATATCGTAACTTATTTGCTGTGAACATGAAATTCCACTCGTGAACATCGGCATCCGGTTTCCGTCCGATTTGAAGTTTCATTGTGATTTTAGCAGTCACCGAATCCGCCGACATTTTCGTTGTCTCGATTCCAAACGTGTCGGTGGCGTCTTTTTTGAGATGCCACATTTCTCCGAAACGTTTGTACCAGGAAAGGAATTGAGCTTCATCATACGCCACTGGATCGGCTTTTCCTTCATGGCAAATTGTGACTTTCACGGCGCTGGCATCCAAGGCTGGAAGCCATGAAGTTGGAACTTTTCCTGCTTCATTTTTATAGATTCCTGGCGACAAAAGTTTGAAGAAGAGCTCGGTGGTCGGGTGGGATTCCAAATTTTGAACCACATTTTCTGTTTGATCACTTTTCGATTTCTCAACTTTTCCTTCGACTTTACAGGTTCCTCCTTGAGAGACATGAGTGATCGAATAGACGCTTCCTTTGTCTTGATGGGTGAACTGAAAAATGAAAAGGATGAGTGTAGATGAGTCTCTCTACTTACTGAGAGGGTCATCTGGATATAATAGGATAGAGTGACATCCTGATCTTCGCGATCCTTGGTTTTGAAGTTCATTGTCATGTGAAGAGTGTCTCGATCGGTTTCTATGATGTCCTGATGCCAAGAATCCTCGTGTCTCTGTTTGTGATTAGCTGCATTTTTAGATAGCGATTTTAGGTATTGATCTGAAATAATTTTTTTTCATAATTTTCTTTTTACTGTAACCTACATGCATTCAATTTCTGGCCATCCGCACAAACTTCGGCAGTCATATCCGGATCGGAAATTGTACGAATCAAAATCATGGCATCTGTGAAATGGGTGTTATCAGAAGAGGATGCTTCGTGGAACGCTTCCATGACCATATCAGCGGTTAATTGCTTTCTTTTCTTAATTTCATCTTCTGGAAGGTCTGACCATGTTAGGTACTTCTCGTCGAATCCTGAATATTTTTTTTTGAAGTTCGAAATTGACGCCAATATACCTCCATGAATCCAATCCATATTTATTGTTCCTTTGGCACCGGTCCCTTTTGCTGTCCCTGTCCCTTTTGATGGAATCGGCAAATATCGTTTACCAACATTTTTCAGAATTTGGGGAAGTTTGAAGGAGGCATTAGCGTTGGCGATGAACGCAATGAGCAGCAGAAGGAGACCTGCTCGCTGGAACATTTTCACGATCGGAGTTTTCAGAAAACTTCGAACTGATTTTGGATTTATTGATTCAGCAGTATTGAGATTGGAAATTGGAGCAGCACGAGAAAATTGATAGGTTACGTTACGGATTTTTCGAGAGAGAAAAATGGTTGTCGGGGTAGGGTCACGAGAATAAAGCTACAGTAATCCCTGACGACAGCATTTTAAAGGAGGGGTCAGGAGATTTTTTGAAGTGTTTTTCTAGAAACTCTTATAACTTCCGAGAATTCTCTCAAATCGTTTTGAAACTTGTTTATTTGAATTTGACAAAGTTAGAGTTTGATAATGAGTACAATCATGATAGTGTTCCTTGAAGTGTGAAATCTGAGTTTAAAGGCGCATATGGGGTCCGAAAAAAAAAAGAAATTTCAGGCAAGTAGGCAATTGAATAGAAACTGGGGTTCCCATGAGTGGGTGGATCGCCCCTCGAATAAAAAATTAAGCTTTATAAAATTCAAGTTTTATTTACTTTAGTTATCTTTGGCAAGGTTATGGTGACTCGAGTAAATTCACTTTTATTCACTTTCGATGTCTCTTTCCACGAAAATTGAAAACCATGTAGTTCGCATCAACCGGTATGCCATCTTCAAATTCGATGCCACATGACATTCTGATTTTTGTAATGTAATACATTTGGTCCATTTCGTCCTGGGGATAAACATTTTAAGAAACGTTTTTAACCCAAGTGTCTGGAACCGCTAATTATTTACGCTGAACATTTTACATTTGATACTCAGCCAACGATCAAAAGGTCACGATTTCTGATAAAGGTTTTTGGACCGCTGTGTCTGAAACTAACCCAATTGATAGTGAAAGATCACTCGTGCTCATAAGTGTATTCTGGATTCTCAACGTCCGCCTGGGAGATGGTTTTGAAATGGAATTCATTTCTATCTTTAGCTGGAAGCGAGGGCTCTCCTTTGTCAAACCTTGGTGAACTAAAAAGTTGTATCGCTGTTGTCTATCATAAGCGAACATGTCGAGTTCAGCTGAAATTTGCAGTTTCTGTATCTGTTTGAACGTTTACAAAACTTATTGACTCCATTATCTGAACGCGCATCACACCACAACATTTTCACTTTTCCATTTTTTGTGAAAGCCTTCACAAACTCAACAGTCGTCCACCATCTCGGCGGAATCGCAAACTTCTCCATTTCCTCCACATTTTCCACAAATCTTTCGCAATGATCTTTCGAATATGAAGATAAGATTCATCTTTGTACTCAACGGCATCATTGCACAACACATACAAACTGGAGAGCTCCCAATCTTTACCGTACTGAAAATGAAGAAAAAAAGAAAACGGTGGGATATTTTCGATCACTACATGAGTAGCAACGTATTTGAACTGCCAATCACGCTCAGGTGCATCCTTCACTGATCGCGTAACGAGTTTCATGGTAACTCGACCGGAAATGAATTTGTCTCCCATATTTAAGAGTTGATGGGTGAAATGAGAAGAGTCAGGTACTGCCCACATTACTTCAAAGTGTCTATACCAGGAAAGGAATTGTTCTGGAACCAGAGTTAATGTCATCATGACACATATTTCCTCTAACCTTTTGTATATTCAACTTCCTCAACCTTGTTCTCATGACACACGTTAATTTTAACAGAAGTTTTGAGAAGTTGCAAAAAATGAGTTGGAAGATTACTGATATCACTATCAGTCCAAGCTGGGAACTTTGGCGCAAATGCTCCCTGGAACCACATGACAGTTGCATTTTTATCATCGGCCTCCAAGTCTCTAGGTTCAAATGGGACCACTTCTCCTGCATTTGCACACGTTCCAGACTGTTTGAGCTCAGAAATGTGATAGTATCGGCGTGAGTGAAACTGAACAAATGAACAGTTTTTTTTTCTGAGACCTATTTATCAAAACATACAGTAGCAACCATTTTCACACACCAATCCAACTTCACATTTGACATTCCAGTTTTTTTCCGGCAATTTGAAGGAGACATCGAAGTCCAGCGAATTACGATCCGTTTCTTGGAGTGTATAGTTTAGATTTCTTTCCCATTTGAACGAATAAAGTTTGACATTTCGTTTCATATACTTCATGAATTGGTCTGGAAGAGCTGGGGAAGGAACGGCAGAGTCGTCAAGTTGGTATTTCTGGAAATTCGTACTTTCTGATTTTCCCTCAAAATTTGATCATACAGTGAATTTGGTGCCATGAACCGTGTTTTTATGTTTCGTGAAGAGGTCAATTTGGTCTGGAAACTTTCATAATTTTTGAAATTTTAACGAAATAGCTCACTTTGTTGCGGCAGCAGAGGTTCTACTGCACGACCTCAAATCCAACAATACTAGAGCACATCTAGAATGACACAAATAGTCATAAACACAATTCTCCAACTAGTTAACGCTACATATTTGGCGTGATCACTCCCTTATCACCATATCAGATCGAGAGCATAATCGTGGATATGCTGAGGAGATGCTATAAAAGGAAGCAGTATCGCCAGTATGATGAGACATCTGAGACAATGGTCACTTCCAAAGGATCTCCACAACACTGGACTCGCTGACGAAGGATCCCAACAGCTGATGATCGCGGATGAGCCAAACAACCGATGCCACATCTTCATGCTACAACCTCCTCTCCGCTGCCAAAGAATGGTTTATCTTCTCTCTCCAATCTGGAACCCTCATCTGGTGTTCATCGTCTCTTGTCAAACTCCCCTAATACAGAAGCTTCAAAGATCCCGAATCAGAGCCCTAATACAGCAATAAACTAGTTGTAGAATAACTAATGTTCCTATCCTTGTACTTTCGCTCCGACACAGACTCACCACCTAAGTGAAACACACTTGTCTTTGTTACCGTATCCTTGACACAATCATTGAGCTCCACGTTTCCATGTTTTGTGAAATATTGAATAAATTCAACAGTTGAATTCCAAGGTGTATCGTTTTGATATTTGAGTTCGTTCACAAATTGAGCAGCAATGATATCCCGGATATTGATCAGAGACTGATCCTTGTATTGGATTGAAGCATCACATAGAACATCTAATTTGTTAAAGTACCAAGTATTAATTTCCTGAAATATCAGTCTCTTAGAAAAGTTAGACAATTTTTCCCATGCACTAATCCCAGCAGCAAATTTGAATTCCGACTTATGAACATCAGCATCTTCTGTAGTTCCCATTTGCAGTTTCATAGTGACTCTTCCAACTAATCGATCCTCTTTTATTTCAATGAGTTGCAGTTCAAAAGTGTCATTTGCATCTGGTTTTCCTTGCCACATAATTCCAAAATGATCATACGAACTATGAAATTGGTCTTCAAAGTAATTTAGTTTTCGATAGACAGTTGGCATATACAGATGCAAAAAGGTCACTACGTAAAAACTGCTGAATCTGGGTCATTCAAGGACTCAATGACACTAAAAGCTAGAAAACACATTGGGCCTTTTTTTTGAAAAATTTCGACCGATTTATCGAAAACTGAGAAACGAAGAAACGAGTTTATGGGCCTTTCAATTTCACGTGATTTACATTAAAAACCAGCGAAATTTTTAAGCAGGCAATATTTGCCTGTTTAAAATTTAAACCGGCGTCAAACGCCGCTTTCTTTTCGAGAATAGAATTTACGTTTTGGTTCACCAATATCCCCTCACTGTAGCTTCAATTTTAATTATCTCAGTTCTTATGAACGATAGCAGAAAACCGTCAACTGATAAAATGCTCCAAATGTCAAGAAAAACATTTTGGCAGTTAACAGTTTGATCATATGTTTCACAAGAAGTCAGATAATTGAGGTTAAAGAGAGAGAATGGGAATTATAAAATGTTGGAACGAATTTGGTATTTGAGAAGTTACCACTAGTCTTCCATTAATAGTTATTGTGATTATGTCTGGATTGAGGTTTAGTTCAAAAGTAGTTGTTTAGCTTTTTAGAATTTAAAGTTGTAAACTTTGATTTTCGGGACTTCAGAATGCAGGTTTCAAAAAACTCCGAAGATTAGTGTTCTTGACATTTTAAATTTCAAAAATTTAGTAATGAAAACTATTTTGATGGTTCAAAAATGTAAAGAATGACAGTACAAAACGATGAAAACACTGAAATTTCCAGGAAATTCGAAAATTCTTGAATTCTGAAAATTCGAAGTTCGGAAACTTTCAGGAAAGTGTAGAGTTTCATGAAATCCATAAACTTTCAAAATCACACAAACCATAGATTTTTTAAAATTCGGAAATTCTGAAATTTCGGAAAACATTTTTCAAAAGCTTCAGGCACCAGGTTTTCAAAATTTCAAACAGAATTCCAGAAGTAATAAAATATCTCGAAGGACTAAAAATATCAATTTCATTCCATTTCCCTGTTTCGGATCGATCATCTGTTGTTTTTTTTTCTTTTTCAATCTTTTCTCTATGAAGTATTTACTATTGAAAAATTCATCTTTTAAAAAAGCGGCGTGTGGCGCCAGAAAACCCCATTTTGGCCAGCCTAATTTTTGTTATCTACTGTCTATTCAATAAAACGCTTGGGAATNNACCNNCAANACCCANAAACAGGNAAGGGGGATNATTANGTGGACTGTGTAGAGATGCTTTTAGGTCAGCGACATTCTGCAGTATTACCGTTCAATTGACTACCAACATGGGATCAGGATTCCATGTCAAAAATACACACCAACTCAGACTTACTATCTCAAGAAGGCTTATCGGGAATCGAGATATGCTGGAAAGGACAAGACAACTTATTTGGTCAAAAAGACGCGGCTCTTGAGGAATCAGGTATTTTATACTTTTTGTTTGGGAAAGGGATACTCCCCCCAAAACGTAATCGTCAAGAAAGCAACTAATTTTATCGATTTTTGAGAGTCTTCATGATCAAAATATAGTAAATATGCAGACGGTCGTGGCCTAGAAAATTCAGCGTGTATTCCACGAGGACAAGTATATTTTCACAGATTATGAGTTTTTTAGAACACCGCTTTCAACAGAATTTTCTAGACCACCGTAGCGGATGGCCTAGAAATGAATTAACATTCACTTGGGTTGTTTTTTAGTTCTTTTCACCATGATATTTCACCATCAAAATAGTCGAATTTTCCTGGTAACTAACTTTCGCACGTTGAGTTTTCCAAAGTTCGCCTAGAAATGGTCTAACATTCACCTGGAGGGTTTTTAGCTCATTTACTTTGGTGGCCTACGAAACTTAGCTTGCGATAGTTAGGCAACCATGGGAAATTGCCTATAAACCTCATCAGGTGCAAGTTAGGACATTTATAAACTAAAAAAAGATGATGGTCTAGAAAACTCAACTTGCGAAAGTTAGGCCACCATGATAAATTGCCTAGAAACCGGAACATTTCTGGACTATCAACTACGGTGGCCTAGAAAAATGATGTTGAGAAAATGAGGTCTCGCTGTTACACAAAATTACTGTCTATTCAATAAAATGTGGGCTCAACCGGTATGCCATCTTCAAATTCGATGCCACATGACATTCTGATTTTTGTAATGTAATACATTTGGTCCATTTCGTCCTGCGGATAAACATTTTAAGAAACGTTTTTAACCCAAGTGTCTGGAACCGCTAATTATTTACGCTGAACATTTTACATTTGATACCCACCCAACGATCAAAAGGTCACGATTTCCGATAAAGGCTTTTGGACCGCTGTGTCTG